ACCTGGGGTGTCAGGCCTTTGTATATCGACACCAGTCTATACGGCTTTATGCGATTGGAATGATGACAATAAGGAAAAGGCGGAGGCTCAACGGTCTGCGGTCTACGGACTAGACGACCAACATTGGCTACTGCAGAATACATCGTAGGGGTATTGTAGGGATGGTAACGCTGTTTTCTCATCTTGCAGAACTACTGCAAGCCTAAGAGACCAGGCGGGGCGCAGACCCTTGCTGCTGAGGCAGGGCTGAAAATTGAAGCAGCGATCGTCAGCCCATGCTACTAGGTATCCCAAAGGAGTACCTAACAGAGTAGTCGAGGTTAGCGAGTCGTCTGCCGAGCCTGCAGTCCATCGATACTATTGGAGAACAAACTCTAGCCTCGGTGATATCTAATAATAAGATATACCTACTGCATTGGCATGCTGTATACCTCTGTTGATAGCTGAGCAACAGGACAAGGAGGATAATGTTCTCTCCCTTCCTATGTATCACAAAGCATAGAAGATGTAGCAATTGCAAAAGACTCCGGATATAGTATTAATCAGTACTGGAATCTGTACTGGATATGACGGGGTGGGGATGTAAGATAGGGGTCCTCTCGGGGATAGTATTGGGGTTTTTTGTTGTTGTTGTCAGAATAGTAAAAACGACAGCAAATGATGAGATTGACCCATATGTACCCATGTAAAGTCAGCACTTACCTATATCAGACTGTACCTATATGTAATCATTTGAATCACCTAAGATAAAAAGTGGATTTCTTCTATTATGAGGTAATCCGTATTACCTGCGGGTATATCGCAAGGTCTACCCGGATCTATGTAAAGGAGACATGTGACTTCCCCACACAAGCCCCTTGTCAGCAAGACTTTGTAACTGTAACTAACTGTATGGTGTGCTACAATATTTTAAATCTTGTTACAATATTCCATATTAAGCGCCGTAATCGATGAAACCGCCACATACTGCGCTTTATTCATAAACGCATTGGGAGGTATACTAAAAGTCCCATCTCTCCTATGTAAATTTGATCAAAATATTATAGAGGGTCATTTATTCGGCTATCACGGATGCTCTGGAACTATTGTTATCAGTGCGTTGTACCCAGCGGCCCTAAACGGGCATTCCCGTCGGCCTTTGATCCAGATCCAGGGCGACGGTTTTCCTCCCCTGAATTTTACCCTTTAGCTGAAGAGCGAACCGTGGCTCTGGACGAAAACATGCAAGGGATGCTGCCGGGGGAGGATGATACTGTCATCCAATAGGACAATGGTGAAGACGTATGTATGTTTCTTTTTTCGTTATTAACATGTCGAAATCGCAATTGCTGATTGGCCAATAAACGACCCGGTCTACATACAGATACCTTTCACCCAAACTCAAGGTGCTAGCTTCGCTAAGACAAATATACGACTTAAAAATGAAACGGTTAGTCTATCTACACCATTGTAACTCTTGATAAGCATAACTAACGAGAGTCCAAAACTACGTGTGCGGCACAGTCACTACACGGACAAGAGGATACTATTACATGGGGGCTATCCAGACATAATACTAGAGTATGCGATTCTCGGTAATTTGATCGCCTTTCCCGTTGTTTCCCAAAATACTGAGTAATGCCAGAGACATTGGTCATCACGATATATGTTCCAAGCATTGACTTACCCAGGTAGACTCAATGGTCAAGCTTACCGCTATATCGTCCTGCGACTTTCTTCGCTGCCGCCGATATAATACTAACAAAGGAATGCGTAGTATTTCCTCAAACCTATTTCGTACTTCCAACAACAACAACAACAACAAAAAAAAAAAAAAAAAACCAATAATGAGCTCATATTCAGAAGCAGCCAATGGATTACCTAGTAACTCAATAGCAAACGGCAACCTCGCTCAGATTGGAACGATATAATGACAATCCCAGCCCAAAATTCAGCCAAGACGTAGGGCTGAACTAATCGATACCTAATCTGGAGGTAACATGCACGAAACAAACAAATAAAGATTTATACATAGTACCAGTCCGGCGGCACCGCGCTCGCACATCGAGATTCATACAGGTACCATAGTACTAGTTCCGGCTATGAATATCAGAGAAAGACCGAGCATTATGTTGCGTAGCTGAAAACAGTCGCCGGACTACACGGCTGAAAGGAAATTATTCTTCTCAGCATATGTGGTTGTAATCGACATTTGGAGGCCGCGGGCTATGCCAGCTCGGCATCGGTCCCTCGGTCTCAAGTCCAAATGAGTGGTCTTTTTGACGGCCGGGTAACGCTGAGGTGATAGGAACAATATGCGACGCCAGTCTTACAGTTCCCGACCCCATCCACTAACCCCCCTGTCCATTAGAACTGGCGGTAGACCGTTCGTGGAATTGACTCAGCTCGCTGCCATTAGCGAATGAAACGTGAGCGCCGGGGCTACGAGTTTGTCGAGGAACGTGGCTAACTTGCAGAGACGACGTTGGGTCGCATTTCTGTTTCCGACCCTTACAGCCTTATTAAAAGGTCTTCCCGGTTAGGAATTATAATTGGTTGCCAGTCGAAAATCAATCTCTTCGTAACGATGATTTCTCCTCTACGACGATATCGTATCGAGCTAGGCGTAACACTCTCTAACACGCTGATGCTCCCTCCTAACGTACCTCAACTGACCGGTAATTCTTCAAGGCTATGGGACTGGATCTGGAAATTATCGTCATTACGCTAAGACGGGTCAATTTACGAGATTCTCCTTTTCGAATTGGTCAGCCAAGGCTTCTGGAATTCGTATCGAGTTTTCGGTCGGTGCTTCTTATGCCATTAGACTTTGTCTGAGTCTGCTATTTTTGACATACCTCAGGTACCTCATTGGGTATCTCATACACCATATGCAGTGTTGACTGCAGGTACGCTACAACACCGCAGAGAGGCTGGAGACCAGTGCCAAAAGAGAAATAGTCGTGCAACCCACCCCGCGACTACGAATAGAGCTTCGCTTTTTACCTGATAAGCGCGTCATAGTAGCACCGCCCCCTTTCCTCTGCCGTGCTCCCATCGTCTCTATCTTATCTTGTGCTTCGATCAACTTGGTAGAGACACCCAGCAAGGGGTATGGTCGTCTCCCCACTTCTAACTTACCGTCCGGCGTAGCACGGTTACATAGGTGTCGCCGGCATCGTATGGCAGCATCCCGTCCGCCATTCACGACATCCCACAGCAAGATCCTGTCCTGCAGGTGCCCGTAAACGTGAATCTACAATATACCAACACCATGCGATTGGGTCAACGTAAGCCTACTTTGTGTAAGTATAAGCGCGTGTCGACGTAGCCCAGTTCCGTCAAAATAGCCCTAGGACTCGGTTGGATTCCGATCGGAAAGGATTCGAGTATTATGTTGGTCGCACCGAGGGCCGCGGAGAATTTCATCATTCGTCGTAGATACCGCCGCCACTCACCCCTCTTCGCCCCTCGGATTATCTAGGGACGGAGAGTAAAATTAGAGTGTTAGGAAATCCAACTCAGAACTACCCATATCGCGGAAGACGTGGAATTAGTAAGAGGGCCCCTTCATTGGCCACTATTAATATCACCGTCTGACTTGGGGGGTAACCTTTCACCGAATAACTCATCGCTAAAGATACCTATGCACACCTTTGAAGCCCGGGTATTGGGTACCTAGTAAGTAAGAAGAAAAGGGGCGATGCCGGTCTTCCGCTAAAGGCCAGGGACCCGAGATCCAGGTTGATTTAGATTGCGAGTGAGATTTCTCGCATGGCAGCCCTGAGGAGCACACAAATCCCCACCCTTCCAACCGGTTCACCTTGCCTTATCTTAGGTACCTCGTCCAGAGCCCCGGGATCCCTCTTCTCGCCACCCGTATGTAGGTATGTACATATGTACGAGCCACCACCAACATACATTAACTGCACAGCATCGGTATCTACATCTAATCTTAGGTAGATATGACGACGCGGCTTGGTCACGCGGATTTGCATATATATAGGTATATATATGATCTGATTCCTGGTCTGTCTGTCTGGCCCGCCCCGGCCGCATAGACGACCTAGTCTCGGTAGATGATAGGCAGACAGACGTAGGTAGTAATTCTCCATGGGCCGAAGGAGCTGAGAGTGATATGGTACCTAGTAGCAGGAATAGGATCGCATTCGGCACCAGGGTCCGCCGCAGCGCGATATACCGACGAACTATACAAGGATAGCATCAATGCCGGATGCCTTGACGTCCTCGGGTATAGGTAGCCCATGTCACATCACATCTATACATAGATGTCGAATATTCGGACTACCTACTACTACTATCCTCCGTCTCCAACTCCACAGGCCACATATCGTGACCTAGCGCATATCTCTTATCATAAACAAGACAAAAGACACCGATAGCTAGCTAGCTGAAAATGAAGTGCCTTAATACCACCTCGTCCGGCAGGAACACCAACCGTGCCCCGTCCTATCCCGCCGTAGCATTGCATCGGGATTTAACTCGTCCAATGCCAGTGTGTAGATTGAAGTTTCTTATATGCACCTTCGCTGCACGCATATATCATAATACATGGAGATAGAAAATCATGTAGGGGGAGGTAGTAGGTATTCCCTTCGCTAAACGTGGAGAGTCGCAAAAATACTACGTACGATAATCGTCATTCACCCGGCCCCATTTCAGGCCTCCTTCAGCAGCCATATAGTAGCAGCCGTAGGACTTCCGTGTAAATATCACTCGACATCTACTCCAACACACATCGTCTTTTTTCACCTTCCGTAACCAATCTGGTTTGGGTAATTTTAGTCGAATACGAGAACCAACAGCTTGCTTGTTCATAAAAAAAAAGTTTCATTTCGTTTCGTTTCCATGTCCTACATACGATCCCCAATGCCCAGCTCTCCGAGCGCCCTATTCGCCCGAGAAAGGCACAGCTATTCCTTGGTAATCATATCATACATTATATCGTAACCCGCCAGCCAGCCAGTTGTCAATCCATCTAGCTGTCTGCCCTACGCCACGCCAAGTTCTCCCATGTCCGCACCTAGGTAAGGCATTCCTTCCTCGATAACGCAATGCGATCCGCCGGCTCTAAACGGCCCCCTGCATGCACGGAGACATGACATCGCGGCGGCCCCCAATCGCGAATCCAACGATCGTCCAGCGACTCACCCGTCGAGATGCGAATCCTTCGACGTGATGGGCGAACCATAGCCGCCCGGTTCCTCCAACTAATACGTCGTGCCTGACAGCCACGTCAGGCAGTTCACCACCAGTCGCCCTGGTCGTGCATAGCCTGGACGACCTTGAGGAAACCGGCAATGTTACCACCAGCGACCAAGCTAGGCAGCTCGCCCTCCTTGGTCTCGGTATACTTGTTGGCATTCTCGATGCTCTGGTCGAAGATACCCTTCATGATCTGGGCAAGGCGCTCGTCGACATGCTCCTCCGTCCAGCTGAAGCGGCTGCTGTTCTGTGCCATCTCAAGACCGGAAACCGCCACACCACCTGCGTTGGACGCCTTACCCGGTGCGTACCAGATGGCGTCGTTGCCCTTCTCTTTTCGAACGGCCTCGAACACGTCGATCGCCTCCTGCGTGCAACCCATGTTGGAACCTTCAGCGACGAACTGAGCGCCGTTCTTGACTAGTGTTTCAGCCTCCTCTTTGTTAACTTCGTTCTGCGTCGCGCATGGAAGCGCGATGTCCACCTTGCCGACGTGCACCCAGGGGCGCGCGCCCTCGATGTACTTGAATTGCGACTTGCCGCTGAACTCAGTGATAGGCTTGCGGTCGAGCTTGATGGTTGCGATCTCGTTGATATGCTCAGGGGTAAAGTGCGCGTCGCCCTCGGCAATCAGGGCGCCCTTTGAGTCAGACAGAGACACAACTGTGGCACCAAGTTCAATACACTTCAGAGCAGCGTATTGGGCAACGTTTCCGGATCCAGAGATGGCAACGCGCTTCCCCTTGAAGCTGCCCTTTCCGGCGTACTTGAGCATGTGCTCGACATAGTAGACGAGACCGTAACCGGTAGCCTCTGTTCAAAAATCGTTAGCTTGGTATGTCCTTCTGAGCAGCTTAGCGGCAGTGTCGGCACTTACCTGGTCGGATCAAGCTACCACCCCAAGAGAGACCCTTGCCGGTGAGAACACCTTCCCACTTGTTCCTCTCCTTGCGGTATGTGCCGAACATGTAGCCAACCTCTCGGCCACCGACGCCAATATCACCAGCGGGAACGTCAGTCTCGGCGCCGATGTGCTGGCAAAGCCTTCGCATGAACGCCTCGCAGAATCTTCGGATCTCATTGTCACTCTTGCCCTTGGGGTCAAAGTCTGCACCTCCTTTTCCACCACCCATGCTCACTAATATCATCATTAGTAATGCTCAGTTTTCTCGGTCGCGAGCGTAGACTTACATCCTGTCAAGGCATTCTTGAAGATCTGCTCGAATCCGAGGAACTTCAGACTATTAGGCACGCATGTTAATATGACAAGTTCGGTTGAAATTGGCTATTGCCGTTTTAGGTAAGAGGTCTTCTCACATCGACAAGTTGACGGTAGGGTGGAATCGCAGGCCACCCTTGTACGGGCCAAGAGCGGAGTTGAACTGGACGCGGTACCCGCGGTTCACTTGCAGGTTACCCTTGTCATCTTCCCAGACGACTCTGAATTGGATGACACGCTCTGGGATAGAAACGACGCTCAACGCGGTTCTGTACTCGGGATGCTGCTGGAACAGCGAGCTCTCCTCGAGGGTGGCCACAAGCTCTGTCTTTCGTGTCAGTCTAGGTCGGCACCTACTAGCCGTGTTATTTTAGGATTTTACCTTTGTAGGCCTGCTCAAACTCGGGCTCGGCGGCAAGATGAGACATGGTTACGACGTTGGACTTAAAGTCTGGGTATAATTTTTTAAAAGAAGGGGGTATCAGTGGAACTGGGTATCTTAAACTGTGTCTGGCACGATGCTAATATAAATGAATAGGAAATACACCTCCCGTGAACGAGTCGTCAGACGTGCAAACTTTATTTTTCTACTTTCGAAGAGTCAAGAAGGAAGCATCAAAATCAAGGGAGGGAGAGGCATTATATGGACCTCCCGCTCGAGCAAGACAAGACCGAAAGACACCGTCATCGGTGCTCCTCTAGACTAAATGGTTAAGTGGTGAACATGCCGATCAAGGGCTTGACTACACGTTGCCATTGTGTAAAGGTGGCCCTTGATACCTGAGACACGCCAGGTAGCCCAAGCCTTGACCTCAATGACTACAATCTTTCGCTAATGGGAGAAGGTAAGATTGCATGTAGCCTCGCCTGTCCGGGGAGAAAGGTGTGGGGGGCCAAGGCCATAGAGAACGATTCCGGCTGATTTTTTCTTTTTACCTTCATATTATTCTAGCCTTGCCACTGTCTGACTGAGGCAATTGTTGGCCCGTTGGATGAGATCAAGGTATATGCCTCAATCTAGTCAACGCAGATCCATGTCTTGGGGATTATACCCAACTTCTCTAAGTCCAGAGCGTTGTCGGCGAGAACCAAGGACTGCTCGCTGATGTTCGGGGCTAGGTAATGTTCTGAGTACTACGTATGGTACCGTAGACCAATTTCCGGGAGCTGAGCGGTCATCTTCACTAGAAATTGCTAGGTTAGCTACATAGGTAATAATGACGGGGCTATATTTTTCGATGCCCGCACAAATTTTCGTTAGCGAAAAAAAGAAAACACCGTAAAACACCGTAGCACATGCTCTAGATGTCAAGATGCGCATGCGAGCAACAGAGCGGTGACGGAGTTCGTGGCGGCTACTACGAAGCCATGTGGTTCCTCTGTGGGGGAAATGTTTGAACTACTATGTATGAGCTGAATCGTAAGCCTGGGAGAGAATCAACCAACCATAGAGTCTAGTTCCGTTGCCCTACGGCAGGGTAGGGATCAGACCCGGAGAAGCGAAGAATTTTAAGCTTCGCCACAGGTGTGCGGCATCTTATCAGAGGACGATGATTCGTCGGTTGAGTTTGCGACGACAACAATATTCACGTCAATTCAATCTTCGCTGACGGATGGAATTAGATCTCCATGGTTGAAATCTGTCGAATATGGGATCCCCCAGCCGCCGTTCGCGGAACGACCCTGCCAAGGGCTTAGGACGACTAGGGATGACATGTAAAGACAGGGAACGACAGAGCGGACCCTGCAAGACATGCATCTCGCGGAAATTTCGATCCAGTAGCATCTCGCCAATACATATATATTGCGTAATAGCTACCAAAGTTGCGCCGACTAGTCTCAAAAAACTATTTGACAGTTTGACCGAGATGTTCCGCGACCGGAGTAACTCGGATCAGGCTCTGTCTAATTTCATATTGAGCATCGCTACGAAAACTAACCGCGAGCGAAGCTCATACGACTTTTAAGTTACGAGCATACGGAACCGTATTCCTCTAGGCAGCCAAGGAGTCGAGTGTTTCTTCTAGACGACCTTAAGAAGTCTCGACACTGGTATTTGTGCTAGTTAGCTTGTTAGACCATGCCTTCAACAAAGCCCGAGGATTGAAACGTTACTAGTATAAACGCTACTAGCATGCTGGCATATACCAAGACTGATATAAACCTCCACGGCGGGAACTTGTGGTTTTTCTTTTTACTTACTCCTCGGATGGCTGTCCTCGGTCAGCTTACCTATTCTGCGAATCATTGCAGTGATGGTTGTTAGAGCTGGGCTGACAATTCTCGCGGTATCATCTTACAAAGGTGGTGTGCTACTACATGTACGACGTGATATCCTCCGCGATCCTAGAAAGCATGATCATGTTGTCGATGGAATTGGTAATTCGAGGGTAAGAGAATGTTGTATTGGGGAAAGTTTCGAACGGGGCTTATTAACCCCCGATCTAAATAACTCTGTACAACGTTTATCGCACCTTCTCCAAAGATAGCTGAAAGGTAGCTTCCGTATGTCTACATGTGTGGTTATGATGTAAGCCACTCTACTGGTTATAATTTCTAATGTATAACAGGTATCAAGTGACTTCCGAACCTTAATCAAACATTTGAATGCCACCAAGGCGACTGGAAACTCAACTTGATAGAACTCAATACGCTGCAGGACTAATAGGCTGTTTAAGAACAGCAAACCAACTAACCTCAAAACCATACCAGCAAAGAAAAGACAGTCATCTAAAAGCACCGCTCAAAAGAGGTAACCGCACCATCGCGCTATACCCAATAATCCGCCTTCCTTGCATCGCCAGAAACACAACACGCCTCCAAGGAACGTCTCTCACTTACCACCGTCATTTTTAATCTTCCCGCCCTCATCACCCTTATCCCCAATATCCCTCGCAATACGCCCCAGCTTCTCAAACGCGGTCTTAAACTCCTGGCTGTACGGCGACATATCCCTCATATGGCGAAGCTGATGAGCAAGTCTATGCATCTGACGGGTGGCCGTCATGCAGGTTTTTCGCAACGTCTCGCTGTAGCATTGGGAGTTAGTTACCTAGGTATACAAGAACTGCACTGATGAATAGGTAGGTAGGTAGGTAGGTAGGTAGGTAGGGGGAGGACTTGCGCTGCCGCTATAGCCCCTACAACACGCTGCTCCCTTCGAGCATCGGCTTCTGCTCGGGCTATTTCCCTCTTCTCGTTCTGGTAGTGGGTTGCGAGGTTGAGGGTAGTGAGAAGACACATCTAGTCAATATACGCGTTAGAACTGTGCGATGATGATACTTATTGTATGATTGTGTTACTCACCCCGGTGATGAGCACCTTTTCGCTTGTCTTGGTCGCCATTTTGATCTGCGTGGGCTACTTGGAATCGAAGCAACAGGTGTGTGTAGTCTCGAGACTCTAGCAAGAATTCTTTGAAGGATATTCGTAAAAGAATGGGATGGCGAAGATATTGGTAGAGGCGTGCTATTTCCGTCAAATTAGAAGTAGTGATTTTGTCCTGAATGATGGATTGACTATATCGCGAATACTGACGAAAAGGAAGCAAGAAAACAGAGACAGGGTCATAAGAATATTACTAGATTAAGCCAAAGTATATGGCTTTTGGCTATCTGTTCTACGTAGAAGGAACATACTTCAACTCAGGGGAAGTCGGATCCTCTCGGCCAGACATCTGGGTAAGTACATGGTAGTCTGATAACAAGATGTTATTGCCATGATCAAGCATTGCCAAAGCCCCTGTAAATGGCGCTACTCTATGATAATTGCAACGTTAATAGGTATATGGTATCTTCTCCCATGGCGCTCGAGTCTGCGAAGCACTATTATGTATCACTTCGCCATCCATAAATATAAAACCATCGACCCGGACTCCATACAATCGTACAACCTTGACATAACGCCGACTTCTCCCGGGCCTGTGAATGCCTTTGATTCTAATATCTTATCGTTACCATATAGCAGATTGGTCAAAATCGAACCGCTTCAACTCTTTGCTCCCGTCTTCCACATCCTTCTTCGCCTTCATGCGCATGTAGAAGATGGGACAGTCCTTGCTACTGCAGATGACCTCGCCGTGCATACTACCTTGGCATCGCTGGCATTGTGTCCATAGTCGTCCAAACCGGACCTCCAGATCGGATACCTTGTCCAGTGTCTTCTTGTACAGTTCCCCCACACGTGGCGCACAATCTAAGCAGACAGCACCACCACTTTCTTCCTTGCTCACGAGTGGCTTCTTGCAACCCATGCATGTCATGGTCTTCTTTGCAAACTTCATGAGACCACCTACCGTTGGCGCCGCAACTGATACCGAACGGGTATGATCACCAGTGAGGAGTGACTTCGACTTTGTTTCTCCAAGGATAGGGTCGAAGATACGACCAAGCGGCTTGGCTAACTGGTTGTCGAGGTAATATCTTGTATCGATAGGCACGTTGTTTTCTAGAACGAAGATCGGATCTTCCGACTTCTCGAAATTTCTCGCTCCACTTGCGCCTTTTACCATAACGTATGCTACTCGATCACCCAACCCGGGTGCGGAACCGGCATCTCTTTTCTTCATGCGGTGCGCAAGTTCGACGTGAGCTTGTTTCGCATCATAGCTTTCTTTGGTGAGAGCCTTCGTAATCACAAGCTTAGACATATCTACCTTGTTCTGTAGTAGATCGGCGATTGTATCTTTGACGTAGCTGCGAGATCGGTTAGTATGATAAGGATTATAAATTAAGGAAGTAGACATACTCTTGGGCTCCCTGGACATCCTGGTCGATCAGGATCATCCTCAGAACCTTCTCAATAACGGTCTGTACTAGCAGACAGTTATCTCTCCTGACAGTCTCGATACCTTTGGTATCCATCTTGTCGAACTTATCGGGTCTCGTCCAGAAGAGACCCGCATATCGCTTTTTGTTGATTAGCAAGTACGGGAAGTAGACCTTTTCGAACTCTAGCTTGATAGGTTTCACAAATTTTGATGACACAAAATTCGCCGCCTCTTCGCCGAGCTTCATCGCTTCGGCTAGGTCCTTCGTCCCGAATTTAACCATGACGGAATCCGTATCACCATAGATGACTTGGGCGTCATGGGAATATCCATTTGCGATACTGTACTTCTTCTCCACTTCAGCCTTGGTTTTCTCAATCATTTGTCGACCAAAACTTGTGGTGCTACTGGCGATCTCGAGACAGGGGAGCTTGCCAGTTGTAGCACCTGTAAGACCGTAAACACTGTTGGCGCTGATTTTCAACGCGAGCTGACGACCATTCAAGACGGCCTTCTTGAAAGGGTCAGTCTCGACAGCTAATTCTCTTTTGGCCTGTTTTCTTGCCGAGAGCAGTTCCTCGAGAATCTGGGCAAGAAGACCCTTTCGCTGCTTAGCAGTGACGAACATATCACCGTTGGGCGTAACGATATAGTCCTCGTCTTTCTTGAGGTTAAACTTCTCTACTGCTTTCTTGTTCACAAGAGTTGTGTAGCAAAGATTGTGCGCTTGCATAATACTTGGATATAGTGACGCAAAATCGAGAGTTGCGATAGGCACGTCATAGTAACCTCGAGTGGGCTCGATGACTGTAGCACCTTCGTACTGATCATCCGAGCTTTCTGATTTCATATTTGGAATCACAAGCTTTTGCTCAAGAGCCTTCCGGAACAGCTGGCTCATGAACTTGACCTGTTGTCCACGGGAGAGAAGGAAATTGAACGGAACTCCTGTGACTCTGGCCATTTCTGTGTAGTTCGCAAGACAGGAGAGTTTGTCCATTAATCGCTGAGGTAAGTAGGCGTCCTTCAAACAATATAGCGCTAGACGACGTCTAGATTCCGGCGTACCGTTAAATAGTTCGGTAATCATCGTGTAGTGCACATCTTCTTTTTGTTCTCCGAGGAAGTGGGAACACACTGAATTGAGTGTATAACTTCTGAGATGATGATCTCTCTGAATCAATTGCAGGAGGTCAAGCTGTAGTCGACCATTGGTGTTCGTGGTCTTCGTATCCCGATTTCCCATTTGCTTACTCGAGAGATTTGTCTTTTTAGAGAAGGTTTTTACACTAGGCAGACGAGTCCAGTAATCAAAACCATGGATCTTGAGGTGATCAGCACGATCAAGTAGATATGGGAAATCGAAATTGGCAATATTGTAACCAGTAATCAAATCAGGGTCGACTTTGTCAAGGAACCGCTTCCAAGCCATAAGCATGTCTGATTCCCTCTCGTAATCTAGGATTTGGGTTGCTACTATAGGGCTCGTCCGATCTAAGCAGAATACATTCCGAACAAAGGGTTTGCTCTCTCCATAGCGAGTTACGACGTTCGCAATTTGGATTACTGGATCTTGGTTCGCCTCTGGGAAGATGCCTTTTCGTCCGGCACATTCGATATCGAAGGATAGAATCCGCAAAGGCGCCATCTTGGACCACTCTCCTTTCGGTTCGTGGGAAATTAGGTCTCGGTAGCTAATCTCGGCTTCAATCTGACAGCTTGATTGCCGCTGGCCCTCTGGTATTAAACGATATGACTTGGCGGGTGCTTCTACCCATGACATGCCGGGAATCTATAACGATTAGTACGCCTCCTTTGTATAATCATCATAAATTGCGTACCTTGCAGTCAACCATGAATCGTAAAACGTATTGTAGGTTATCAAACGTCATTATACCCCCTTCGACTCCCTTCCACATTCCTCTCCAATTTGCTTCGTTCTTCTCGAAGGCCGAACGCACTCTCGGGATATGCTTTGGGTCTGTAACCGTGATCTTGATATATGGACTTTGCGTGTTGCCCTGGAAGCCGTATATATTCTCTCGTAGGACAATTTGGCAAGAATATATGACAGGTTGAAGTTGGGATAACTGGCTCTCAAGATAGGCTTTGAATAATTCACAGTCCTGGGGCGCGAAGGAGACAGGAGCAGCGACGTAGAGGTAGTGTTTGAAGTCTGTGACGTGCACCATCACGGAGTGGCCATTTTCGGTCACACCGAAGAGCTTGACAGTAGTCTTTCCGCCATGTAGAGTACCTTCTTCGGCTTCTATCTGTTGGAAGGTGAGGTTGTCCCGAGAGGGGTCGAAGTTCACAACAGGAGGGCGTTCCCATGCTTGGTCCCTTTCTGAATTGGACTGCTTGAGCTCTGAAATATCTTGGCTTAGCTTCTCGAGAACTTCCGACTCAAAGGTGCTTTTCGGCTGGGTCGATGTTAATTTTGAACCGGGGCCCTGCTGAGAACTGTTGAGGCGCGACGCCGGGGAGGATGAAAGTGGCTCGAGACGGGGCTTTTTTGCGTTAGGATTCGATTGGAAATTTCGACGACTTGAAGCGTCCCCAAGGGTACGCTTCTGAGGTAGGAATTTAGTAGCCATGGCTATGTCTTTCGAGGACAGACTCGATGGGAAATAGAGAGAGGGCAATAATCAGAACATCAGAACTACTGTTTGAAGTACCACTGATGTTGATGATGATGGTATATGGAGATAGTGTAGCAAAGCACGAGTCACCTATTATTTAAGTGGTTTAAGTGGTTTAAGTGGTTTAAGTGGTTTAAGTGGTTTTTAGAAAAGCGCGTCGCGTTCAGAAGATAGCAGGGGTCTTTGGCGGGGCGCACGCGTTAAATCGTCACGTCACTAGGTACCGCTCCGCTTATCATGGGGCATTTGATTGGTTACCTAGGTACCTACCTAGGTAGTGATGCATTGGTTCATACATATGCGCGTATGCGTACCCAAAAGGTACCTTCTTTAATGTGATTCTTTGATGCGACTATGTTAGGTTTAGCTGAAGCTGGCATAGAATGTTTGTTTATTATTTACTATATTGCTGGTATATAGCCACTATTCAAATAGTTATGATATTAGGCAGTGTGAAGGGCATATAGCACGACATATTCTCTCTTTCCTACGTAATATATGGAACTTGTGAAGAGCAACACTTTTGACCAAATAGCAGAATCCGTATAGTTCAGATACGTAAGGGTAAGGCAAGACAGTATTTCACATTAAGCCAAGTATGACTGTCTATATGATTGGCCCTTAGTATATACTTTTCACGGTATGAAGATCTAAGCTGGTGAGATCTATAGCTCCCGTCCACTGGCCTTCTCAACAACATCCTCGTCTTCCTTTTTCTCTTCGACCACCTTTCCGGTAGGGGTCCACTCCAGCGCCTTTAGTCTCTCCGAAAGGATAGGGTGAGAGAAATGGTAGCTCGCATACAGCGAGTCTGCATCCATCGTACTAAGATTCTGGATCTGCAGCTTGATGAGAGACGAAGCTAGCTCAGCCTGGTAACCCAGGTTGCGAGCGAAGGCATCGGCCTGGAATTCAAATCGTCGGCTCATGATGTTCATCAGTAGCTTAATCACAAGGTCCATTGGTGCCAATGCGTCCGAGAATAGAATGAATCCGATGATAATAGGGTGCTCATTGATGAAACCGAAGTCGGCATACAAAGAGTTGTTGTTGATGAAGACCGAGAACAAGCTGAAGATGTAGAACACGTTGATCTGTCGATGGTTAATATGTATAATGTGATTTAATTGGACGTTTTGAACAAACCTGAGAGATGCCAAAAAGCCTAGTAGTGTGACCAAGACTCCAGTGGCCGAGCTCGTGGGCCAGAACGGCAACGACCTCCTCTGGGCTGCTCTTCTCGATCAATGTGTCGTAGATGACGATGTGCTTTTTCCACGGAAGTCCGAAAAAATAAGCATTGCTATGCGCGCTGCGCTTGCTACCATCGATGACGAACAGTTCATGGAGAGGGAAATTTAATTTCTTAGCCAGCGCCTCGGTCTCAGTCTTCAATTTGCCTTCCTCTAGAGGGGACAATTTGTTGAACAGGGGTAGGATGAAGATTGGGTAGACCGTGATCATGAAAACCTGAAGAACAGCAGTGAAGAGCCAGAGATAAGTGACAAACTGAGTACCCGTCTTCTTCACGATGGCGAGGAATCCGGCAAGAACAGGAGGCGCAATGACGAAAGCGAGCAAGTTTGACTTGATCATATCCGTGATGAACAGTTTAGGCGTCTGCTTGTTGAAACCGAACTTTTCTTCCAAGACAAACGTATGGTAGATGTTGGCAGGGAGTGACAAGACTTGCTGGATCAGGATGAAGGTGAGGACGAAGACAATTGAGTGCGATATCTCGCCGCTAAACCGAGCGGGAGCGAAGCGAAGGAGGCCACCAGTCCATGTCCACAGTTTTGGGAGAACATCGAAGTGAATGAATGCAATATTCTGTATTTGACCCCAGAGACCTTTTACAAATCCAAACTTTGCTTTAGCGCGACCATATTCCTGACTTTTATCGTAAACATCCTGGGTAACTTCTTTCTCAAGAACCTTGGGGGGCTTCGTCTTCTTTAAGACTCCGTACTGGCGTAGTGATAAGAATTCTTCGAAGAGATACTGGGCGACAGAAAACCCGATGATGAGCTTCTTCCACGGGAAGAGGGGTCGGTCTAAGAACCGAGCAAGGCGCTAATTGTATAATGTTAACAATTTTCTAGTGATAAAAAAGGGTTATAGAGCATACCTGAAGGATATCCATCATGCCGAGATTAGAAGGTTCGGTGATGATGGAAGCATTAGGTCTCAGGCTAGCTGGAGGAAAGACCTATAATTAAGCTCCGTAAGCTGTCATCGAGAAACCGTGTCAGGTCAGACGTCAATGTGGCTAGTATATGTGGTACAGGGGTACAAACTATGGCACAGCGTTTGCACGCAGCACCGCCTCATGGACAATATTAGGTACCTAGGTACCTCGCCAACTTCAATTTTTATTCACAAGGCGAAGCTCGTCTAAATACTATATCTCTTCACAAGGTAAATAATTCCATAGAATTAGGTTCCCCAAGTCTATAAAGTAAGATAAATTATGATAATATTGTTAAAGAAAGGCTAATTATAGCTGGAACCTATTATACATTACTAGCAGCGGCTTTGGGAAGTTGACATAGAAATTACCTGTCTCTAGAGAGTACTTCTGCTATAGCCTATAAGAGATGATCAAAGCCGCTCCTCACATGGCTCGAACTTAGTAGGATGACGACGAAGGAGGTGCACGTCTAGTATACCTATAAGGTATCACCTATCACAATTAAGAACCAAGGGACTAAGATACCGTTTTGCTAGGACACAAGCCCGACGCAAAGCCATTAGTATTACTATGTTGACCCTTTTCCTATTTCCTAGTTTTCCGAGCATGCTTCACAAGGTTTTCTATTACGCCCTCGAACGCCTCGCGATCGCCAATCTTCTCGTCCGTACGTTTCTTCCAATACTCCAGCACGTCCTTCGCCAAGACCTCCATGCCTTGCAATTTCTTCACATGCTGCCGGAGTTCCTTGTCCGTCATACCGCTTAGAGCCTCGTCTGTGGTTGTGCAGAGCTGCTTCGCGGAAACCAAATCCAGGTCGGGTGCTTCAGGTGGTCCTTTTCGACGTTTTGATGCGGACCTGGGCTTCTCCTTGCCTTGGGAATCTACGGATACTGAGGAATTGTTATCAGTGTCTGGCTTCCTGAGCCTGGAGACGGAGCGAGACTCTGATGATGTGCGTAGCGAGCCGCTTGAAGTGACACGATGGATAGATGGTAGCACAAGTTTCTTTTGCTTGGAGGCGGGTAATATCTCGTCCAGATCCACTGGTACGCCGAGGGAAACTAGGAATAGGCGCCGTATGCGAGACCGGATCCAATCGGGGGGTTGAAGAGGTGGCGGTGCTGCTAATTGCGACCAGAGAGAGGCGCTTCTGGGGTTGAAGAATATTGGGTTGTCCTTTGGTGGCGACGGTAAAGCTGGGAGCTCTTGTATTTCAGGAGAGAACAATGCATCTAAGTATGGTTCTGTTGCAACTATGATATCTTCAGAGTCAAGCCCATCAAGATCTAATATTGGCTGATAGAGAATATAGTTAGCATAAATATACGACTACCTAGCGAGGGACCTAAACATACAAATGAGGGTATTGCGACCTGAGGCTGAGGAACCGGCATGGGAGCCGGTCCTTCTGCCTCGGCCGTCTGAAAGCCATCGTCGAAGTCGCCAAAATCAGCATCTTCATCACCCTCTTCAAACTCGTCAAAGTCGTCGCCAAAGTCACCAAAGTCATCAACGTCATCGCCATCAGCATCTTCTTGACTAACACTTCCCGTTGATTTTGCTGCTGACGATTTCCTCCGTCGATGGGTCAATGGTGACTTAAGTGATGGGGCTACAGTCGCGTTATCTACGAGGGCAAGGGTCAATCGCGCTGGGTAGCTTAGGAGGACTTGGCTGCCGTACCAGTTGCTTCCTTGGTGGTGTCAAGCGAGGAGGGTGTCGGATTTGCCTCGCCGGTACCGTCAGGTTTCCGAATAATGTCTGGTTCGGCATCTGCACGACGAAGATCTTCGTTATAGTGATGAGTTGAAGAACCAGGGGCATCCGCTGATTCGTCAACTACCGTCTTCGGAATTGGATGACCCCCTGGCGTCACAGGTCTGTCTGGGGAGACAGACTCTGGCTTCTTCTCATGGATGATAGCGATCTCATCAGGCTCGGCATCCTCTGTGCGCTTACTGTAAGCTTCCGTACCCGGGACTTCACCGTAAGACGGCTCATCGTCTACTTTTTCGACTCGCGTCCGTGGTACCGGGGAGGTAGCCCCGGGACTATTCCTCGGGGAGGATTGAGCATCGGAGAAGTGCTCGTCAGAATCGGAGGAGGCTGAATTGGGACAATTGTTAGCTTACTGAGGGAATTGTAAGGGACTTGTAAGGGGTACTAAAGCATACCAAGCTCATGAGCACCTGGGTCTTCTGTACCTTTTCTCTCGGGAGCCTCGAGGCTAAGTGACCTTCGCTCTCTAGACATGGCAAAGAGCTTCTAGGTGGTATGTCGGGGTTGTGTCACTTGGTTTGAGAAAGTTGACAGGCCTGTAATATAATATCTAGTAACCTAGGAAGTTGTGGTCCCTTTTCCCTTTTCCCTTTTCAACAGCCGTTGGCTGGTTTGAGGGGTACTGTATAACAAATTGACCAGATGTAGGGCCAGAAAGGTCGATGGCTCGTGGTCACTGATCTTAGAAAGGCTGTAGGATCGATTTAAAGATGTGCGAGGCCATAAAACTAAGCCTCCTATTGTTCTGGCTCTTACATGAGGTAATCGTAGAGATCGAGACTTCAGCTCAGGGATCGGAAACACATGTTCCTGGTTGGGCAGGCGGCGAGGGCGGACAGGGCTGGCAGGTTAGTTGGTTGGTATTGGTGTAAGAGACCTATGTACATAGACTGATTAGATAAGGGAGCCTAGAACTCCTGTGGCTTGACTTAAGTACCTAGGTAACTAATACATAGGTACATTAGGTATATACCTAGGTATGTACCTATGGAAGGTACACTGCTGAAGGTCGAGATCCACATGTGGTTTGTGAGTACGGTAGGTACCTACCTATCTATGTACCTACCTGCCTTGTAGTACATGCTACAGTAATCGCGTCGAACTTTACCACCTTAGAAGCTTGTCGCGCAAAAAAAGTGGTCGGTCTGTGATGCATCACTAAGTCACCAAGCCAAACTGTAAGTACCTAAAAACAAACTATTATTTTCACAGTTGTATTGCACGAATTGGGGGTTTTCATATTCATACATGCTAACTATTCCATTAAGGGTTAAGATATATCTTCGTCTTCGACGTTTATAATCATCGTCCAGCTTGCGGTGTCCTTACCCAGCGAATTACGAAACGCCGAAACCCCCAGCCTTTTCTGTTCTTGCGGCTTGGGGATGAGTGCAGGTTTATAAACACGGCTGAGATCAGACGAACCCACACCCACATCACATTCCAATAACTAGATCGGATACCTATAACACAACATATAGCACATTCCTTCCTCACAAACACCGTCCTACCATGTCGCTCTTCGGCAATTCGAGCTCAGGAGGGCAATCCAACAATAATGCCACCACTTCCACTGCACCTCCTTCTGGCAACTTGTTTGGCTCATCAACCCCTACTACTTCGGCTTCGACCAATCTATTTGGTAGTTCAACCACCGGCACACCTGCCTTCTCTTTCGGAAACCTAGGTGGTGGGAACAATAGCGCTGCTGCTGGTTCATCGGGAACTACTCCTGGTCCCTTCGGAAACACGGCTACTAAGCCAGGAGAGCAAAAGCCATTATTTGGGCAAACGACGGGAAATAGTGCACTAGGATCTACTCCTACGTCGGGTGGTGGTGGCTCTGGGTTGTTTAGTAGCAGCTCCCAGACACCTCCCTCTAACCCTAACCTCTTTGGTAGTGCTGCGAAGCCTGCGCAATCTACGAACCTATTTGGTAATCCCGCCTCAACAACACCGACGTCGACGAGTGCCGCCCCAGCATCAGCACCGATGATAGCAGGATCTTCTAGCACCCCTACCTCGGCGCCCGGGCTCTTTGGCAACCTTACCGGCGGCGGCGGCGGCGGCAGTGGTCTTTTCAACAACGCCAACTCAAGCACTACGCCAACTAGTAATGCCCCCGGTTCTGGTTCGCTATCAACACCTACGAAAACAATGTTTTCTCTAAACTCAACCACTCCCGCGGGCGCGCCTCCGACGAAGCCTGCCAACCTCTTTCAGAGTGCTACGGGTCAACTACCCTTTCCATCTACTCAGCAAGGAGACAAGAAGGAAACACAAGGTAGCTCGTTGTTTGCAAACCCGGGCAGTTCCTCCCAGACTGGTACCGCGGCCAGCAAGCCGTCGTCCTCTACCCCGAGTGGACTCTTTGCCAATGCCGGTCAAAGCTCAGCCCAAGCCCCAGGCCTCTTTGGGGCTTCGAAACCTGCTGATGGTTCTTCCGCCTCAAGTTTATTCAGCGCGAAGCCTACCACTGCACAAGGCGGCGGAGCGACACCTGTAGCCAGTCCACTATTTGGGCAGCAACCTTCAAAGCCTGCCGAGGCATCCTCAGCTAAGCCCGCGAACTCGCTCTTTGGGGGGTCAGGTACTACACCAGCAGCACCAGCAAGCTCATCTTCGTTATTTGATAAAAAGTCTGCATCATCTGCAGCAGCTACTACATCGGCGGCTCCTGCTTCAGCATTTCCGAGCCTTACCAAGCCCCCGGGCTCTACCTCTGCTCCCGAACCAGCTAAGACACAGGCGACTTCTTTGTTTAGTCTGGGGAAGCCGGCATCCGGTACCGGAACTACTGAACAAGCCAAACCTACATCTGGTCTCTTTGGTAATACTGCCTCTACTCCAGCAGCAGGAACTGCAAACGCCACGCCAGCCACCGGAACGACAGCTTCTGCCACTCCGGCCTCAACCGCTACCACAACGACAGCCCCAACAAGCTCTCTATTCGGTGCCGCGCAAAAAGCTGCTACATCGTCTGACAACACGGCAGCACAATCTACTACAGGAGCTAGTAACGCATTGGGAGCATCGACCGCTGGCCCTATCTCATCTATGGCACGGCTCAAGAACAAGACAATGGATGAGATCATCACTCGGTGGGCTACTGATCTCTCAAAATACCAGAAAGAGTTCAAAGAGCAAGCAGCTCAAGTGGCCCAGTGGGATCGCCTTCTGGTTGAGAATGGGGAGAGGATCCAAAAGCTCTATTTGGAGACGTTTGAGGCCGAAAAAGGTAGTCGTGAGATTGAACGACAGCTCGTCGGCATCGAGAGTCAGCAGGAAGAACTCGAATCTTGGCTGGATAGATATGAGGGTGAGGTGGACTCGATATTTGCCAAACAGATTGGGCATGGAGATCAGCTTACGGGACCGGATCAGGAGCGCGAGAAGACATACAAGCTAGCCGAGAAGATTACCGAAAAGTTGGATGATATGGGTCGTGACTTGGCCAAGATGATCAAAGAGATTAACGACATTTCCGGCACTTTGAGCAAGGGCAACAAGCCGGATGACCCGGTAAGTGTTTCCCATAAACCACCTAAAAAAAATATGTATTGACTAACCCCCCTTTTTTCTATAGCTGAGCCAGATCGTCCGAGTCCTCAATAGTCACCTTGCTCAACTTCAGTGGATAGATACTAACGCCGCTGCGCTTCAGGCCAAGGTCGCAGCCGCACAAAAGGAGCGCAGCACAATCGGCAACCATTACGGGGGCCCAGAACAAGACAATGTGGACAGCTTCTATAGGTCCTACATGGGACGTCGATAAGCCTAAGGTTTCTTAAATAATTACTAGACTACCGAGGAGGAATTTGAGAAATTCTTAGGGGAAGTTCGGTGTAGGAGTTTAAGGAACCATGCACGAAAATTCGAGAATTCGTAGATGATGATATGCACTAGGATAGGGGAGACCTTCAATCGGGCAGGTATGCCGTGATAAGAGACGAGAGTTAATTCTGTGCAACGGCTGTATTTATGTACACTAGGACATGGCAAATGCGATGGCTGAAGAACAAGTCTGGTTTTTTGAACTGTTTCTAGTAACACCGCAAAGACTCACGCGCAGATGCTAGACATCATAATGAGCGGAGCTTCGGCATTCCTTCTCTTACGTACTGATACTAATACATCTAGTTGTGCTCGCCGCCTTGATCCTTGGTCAACTCGTCGCTATAGCAGAGACATATCTATTAGTACATGTTGTCGATATTGCAAATCCCGCAAGGGGAATGTTCGAGGTAAGCTGGATAGACTTACATGTGGTCGGACAGCTTCTGGAGGTGGTCCTGCTGCTCGCGGAGCTTCTTGCGCAGCTCAAGGAGCTTCTCCTTCTCGCGCTGGCGGATCGCGAAATCCTCGTTGGCCTTTTCGCGCTTCTGGAAGGCATCACTGTTTTGGGTTTCTTTGTCAGTCTTGTTCTTTACTACTTTATCTAGTGTATCCCCCATGATCCTCGACTTCCGGGTGGATTCTCCATGCTCTAGCGAGCTAGGAGATACCGGCATCTCGGGACACACACTCCAGCTTTCTGGAACTGGATGGCGGGGTATTGGATATTTCGGAATAGACACGCGACGTACCTTTGGCCTAAGCTGCCCAGCTTGCTCGGCGCACCGGTGTCGCCTGCTGACATGGCGCGGACGGTCGTCGTGAATGCGCGGCGGGGGAGGCCTCGAGACGGGATCTTGGTCAGAGTCTGGCGGTACATTTTTGCTTTTAGTTTTTGAGGAGGATCTCAAGGAGTCGCTCGCTGGATTAGGAGAAACGTTTAGTATTTGAACTACCTTACAAGCAAGTCACGGGATGATGGGTGTGGAAAAGCTAGTACCTGTCTAATTGGTTTGTTGTTGTATGTGGTGTGATTGATGAGGCACTTCTAAAAGTTGGAGGTTCAATTGGAGCTTAGCCTTTCTTACCTATGAAGTCAATGGCAATGGGCAAAGGGCAAAGCTACCTACCTAAGGTTCCAACCCCGGCGGAAGAAGACGGGGCGCACGGACGCAAACGGAGCGGAACTCTCCTAAGACCGTTCTCTGCCTTAGTGCCTACATAGGGTATAACGTCCATACCTGCTCAGGCCATACATAGCATCATTAGTGATCACTGATCACGCAAAAGTCCAGCGGACCGGAATAGTTTAATTCTTTCCCTCCACCACGCCATCTGTTTAGGGGTTTAGGGTCATCTGATATAACAAAAATTCCGTAGCCTACCTGCTACTGTATGTAAATTTGCCGCGTATCATTATTAAAAGAGGCATGAAAGCCTATGGAAATTCTTCCCTATTTATATTGGCCTTGTATCGTGTTGATGATTTACAAGTTTCACTTCTTAGAAAATCTTACGAGAATAATACGTAGTTTAGACTACTATGCGTATTACCAGCCGTGTCAATACAAATTTTATATTTTCGTCGAGGCTGAGCATGTCGTATTGCATGAAAAAAATATACGCATAATTGATCATAGACAAGTTTTGTTATGCTACCAACATCTAAATTTGGCATGATAACTCTCAGCTATGCCAGACGCGAGAAAAGAATGGGGCTAAGTATCGTGAGGCTCTGGTCTAGCATGATATCTTCTAGGAATCAGAGGAGCATAATGTTTTCACCGGGAGGCGGTTCCTTGTCCCGCAAGGGAAGAATACCTACTTGGCAATGCATGGGTTTCATCCCCCCTCCAAGAAGAAATCAAGTCGGTGACGTTTTTAACAAATCGACCCTTTTCCTTCCCTACTCTTGATTTCCTGGTCAACTTCGCATTGACGATAGTTGAAATGGATTAGACAAATGAGAAGCCAAGTTCTCGTGGTGGCTGGCGCGGGTGTGGCCCCGAATCAGAAAGCAATATGCAGCACTGTGCATATGTATGAGCTATTTGGGCTGCATATGTTGACGTAGGCTGAAATTCTTTCCCCCCTTATCGCCCAGTAGCGGCCGTGGTAATTCGGACAAAGAATGTAATGGCTCGTGCTTCGAGTAGCCTCGAATTATCTAGGTCTCATCTCCCAAGGGTAATTGGCTAACTCGAGTGTAGACCCTTTCTCGGTGACTATTGAGACATTGAACAAGATTAACGAAGGGCCACTTGAATACCCTTTCTATTACGGGTGCCACTGGATAGAGGGGGTACGATAAAAGGGAAGATTATATGAGCAAAATAAAACTTGGATAACCTCATAAATACTTGCCTTAGGTCATCCTATATCATTTGAGGCTTGACAGCTCGTTGGGTGTCTATAAAGAATGCCTCATGTACTGGTACAAGCACGAGACCAAATTTAATTGTTTCTTGAAGTACGTGGGGTACGATTTGATAGTATTGAAACTGACGTAGGAGACCAATGTGGGCAGGGAGGGAAAGGAATCGAACTGCAACCTACATTGCAGCAACAGGGACATTTAAACCTTTCATGAATGACATATGTAATTGGTAACCTTACCTAAGGTAAGTGCATCGGACATATGTAGAATGCACATGACAACCACGTGAGGCGTAACTTCTTCAAATCACAAAGGCATACAAAAAATTGGAAGGTGAAATCAAAATGGAGGAGTCAGGGAGTCAGGAGTGCCTTACCAGCTATCTACGCCTCAATACAAGTACTATCAGGCTTGTGTATATGCAGTTGTACATATATGCAATGTCATGCCCACAACATTATGTAATGTAGTTTATGTACCAAAATATGTACTTCCATATGATAATGATACTAGGTTAGTCAGTCATTAAAAGACGAAAGGACAGAGGTACCGAAATGTTTAGATTTGAGGATGACCCCCTTTCAAGCCTTGTTCTATTGTCAAATGATCCGCTGCCCGCTGCCCGTTGCCAAGTATACAGGCTTATGGCTCTGCTGGTTCAGGTCCAGTTAGGCTTTACAATATAGACGGAACCGGTGCTAGTAGTTGGAATTAGTGGAGGCGTTGTACAGCCCTGGGCAGCCTGGGGGAGAAAAGAGGTATGTAGGTACTTTAGGTTAGGTACTTCAAGTAGGTACAGTACATGTGTGCCTAAGGATTTTAGAATGTACCTGAGGTTACTATTACCTCTTCCCCCCTCCCCACGCGCGCACTGGGCACACCCGCCTCTGAGCCCATCCACCCTCTTTCTCCTAGACTCCTTCACCTCAGGCTCCCTCTGTCTACCAACAAAACCAAACTGCTGCACATCCGCCGACACAAAAACTCTCCCAAAACTTTTTGCATCCCATAAACCTCCCAAATCCAACAACCACCAACTTATTCTATCCTCCGTCTTCGCACTTTCTCTCTAGTGCATCTTCCACTGCAGGTCGTTCCTTGACAACCAAACCTCGAAACAATAAACAGAAGGTACGTTAACCCTTATCCATCCATCTCCTCTCCTTTAAAAAAATCCCCTTTCTTTGCACTTGCGGTCATGTTCCTTGGCCTACCCTGAGTCCCGCCTTGTACTTTCGTCATCGCCCACATCACGACCGCCTCCTTCTTGTCGGCCGTACATACAACAGCAAATTTATCAACCGCCTAATACGACCTGTTCCCTAAATCAATTGATTATTGCGACAACATACACGCCTGTCCGTCTACCTTTACCTTACGCGTTTTCCATTCGCATCCACTGGCGCAAACCCCACCGACTGCGGGGGGTTCGTCTTTGCTTCACCGTCACAACCTTCAAGCCTCTCGATATCCACGGCAAGGTAGCGCGTTCCTCTAGTTTGGGTTGTAAACACTTCCAGTATCGTCCTGGCAACTGTTTACAAACTCCTAGGTCAATAATTGCTGCCTGTTGCCATACAACCCTACATTTCTTTTTTCCCTCTTACTACTATTTTACATTTTACATCTATACTGCATACACTTTTCCCATCACAACCAAAAACAAACACATTATCCAACCGAAACTAGAGCTGACTTAATACATTAATCTAGTTTTCTCGTCTCACCGAGTCTCACACCGTCAAGATGGGTCACGAGGATGCTGTGTATCTTGCCAAGCTGGCCGAGCAGGCTGAGCGCTATGAGGGTATGTGATGCTATGGATGTGGTTGCTGGACCCCGCAGAGTGGCAATACTAACTTTTACCGTTATCAGAGATGGTCGAGAACATGAAGATCGTCGCTTCTGAGGACCGTGATCTTACCGTCGAGGAGCGCAACCTCCTCTCCGTTGCCTACAAGAACGTGATCGGTGCCCGACGTGCCTCGTGGAGAATTGTCACCTCCATCGAGCAGAAGGAAGAGTCCAAGGGCAACTCTTCCCAAGTCGGTCTTATCAAGGAGTACCGACAGAAGATTGAGGCCGAGCTTGCCAAGATTTGTGATGACATCCTCGATGTTTTGGACAAGCACCTTATCCCCTCTGCTAAGTCTGGCGAGTCCAAGGTGTTCTACCACAAGATGTATGTTTTCTTCGGTGCCAGTACCTATCTTAAATCCAGAGATTTCTAACCAACCAAAACAGGAAGGGCGACTACCACCGTTATCTTGCTGAATTCGCCGTTGGTGATCGACGAAAGGAGTCGGCTGACAAGTCGCTTGAGGCGTACAAGGCTGCTACCGAGGTTGCCCAGACCGAGCTGCCCCCCACACACCCCATCCGTCTTGGTCTCGCCCTGAACTTCTCCGTCTTCTACTACGAGATCCTCAACGCTCCCGATCAGGCTTGCCACCTCGCGAAGCAGGCTTTCGACGATGCGATTGCCGGTAAGTACCAGACGTACGAGTTGAAAGTAGCTTGAAGCTAATTTAAATCTATAGAACTTGACACCCTGAGCGAGGAGAGCTACAAGGACTCGACTCTCATCATGCAACTCCTCCGAGACAACCTGGTATGCATTCGTATTTATCAAGTATTAGTTGAATCTGCTAACATAAAATTAGACCCTCTGGACGTCTTCTGAGGCTGAGCCCCCTGCGGAGTCAGCCGCAGCCCCCGCCCAGGAACCGGAGAAAGCCACCGAGACCCCGGCTGAGGAGCCCAAGGCTGCCGAGTAAGAAAAAAGAAAAGCCCACGTCCCTTATTAGTCTCTAGATTTTAAAGGGGTCGATCGAAGTTGGGTGGACTCTGGTGTCTATGGAGTGTTTGCTTGAGAATTCTCTTGCTTGAGATTCTGCATTGATTTGATTTTTTCCCCCTTCACGTGGCAAATGCACAGAGCAAAGACTTGGACGGTTCTCTTTTTCCCGCAGGCAAAAGGGCTAAAGAGCTTTTGGTAGGTCTTTCGCAGAATGCTTGCCCTTTAGACTCTAATGCAAATTCGTCTGAATAAACCCCATACTTTCTACTTGCACAGGCAATATTAATGTTATGAATTCTTCATGAGCAATGGACTTTCGTAGGATCTTCGCAGGATGAAATAAAACTCAGGCAGTAATAGTATCCTCTTAGGCTCGATTGGCCAGTATATGCTAAAACTGCTGATACAAAAAGACCAAGACATACATTTGTGCATATGCATTTATACTATTTATTAATCTGCAAATATCTACATCTTTACTCCCAAGAGTAGTAAGCCTTTCACTGCATGGATAATATCTTACCCTTTTTGATTATACTACTAGCTCGTAAATCATTTGCATCATATCATGCCCGAGTAATCCCACGCCCCTTGAAGTCTCAGCCAGCATAGGCCAGTGTACCAACCCTCTCCTGTCCAGTACTCCTAATGTGCCCTTCGCAAATACACGACTATGGTAAATCACCTTTCCATCGACTTAGATGTAGATGCTCAGGCCACGTGATATACTTTATCTGTTGGGGTAGAAAGGAAAGCGAGCCTATCGGATTGAGTTGTGACGACATCATCTACAACGAATCCATGTCTCATGATAGATACTATATCCCGATGTCTCTTGGCAGCTGCTACCTCCGCGAGCCGCTTGTGCTAGTCCCCGCCGTCGCGGACCCCGACAAAGAGATGCCCCAGTTGAAAGTCCAGTTAAACGAGTACTTCCTACCAGTGCTGCTGCCCAGTCTCTCCCCTGCTGGTGTGACTGCGTCTGCACCTCTTCCCATCGTTAGCGTGATGGCCGCTTCACGAACCGTAGTACTAGCGCTTCTCGCGGGACTGGTGGCAGTAGTAGTAGTAGTAGCTACGACATGATTATCCCCGTCATCGTCGCCGTCGTCATCGTCATCATGATCCTCGGCTGCGGCGAATAAAACCCGGATCCAGAGACTGCAGTCGAGACACTCGACCATCAACACGCCGTCGTCTTCGAACTCTTCCAGGTTGTCCTCGGTAAATGCGTATCCGCGCGCGTTGCCGCACCGGCAGCCGCGGTAGTACACCCCCGTGCGCTCGTCGAATGCCAGGTCATCTAGATCGACCGTCTCGACGCCCGTCTGGAAGGACGAAGAGGTAGATTGAGAGTGCCGCTGGGAGGGCGCCGTGCGCAGAGCCCGGTCGTAGTCTGTGCGCTGCTTGCGGTCTGAGAGGACTGCGTAGGCGTGCTGGATTTGGTCTACGGTGTATGTGATGCGTGGTTGTGATGTCTGTTTAGGACCTGGCTTTGAAGAAGTAGAAGTAGAAGTAGAAGTAGAAGGTGTTGGGGTAGATGTCCTGCTGCCCTGGGGAGTATTGCCACTGGCTGATTTGTCCGGGTGGTGTTTTAGCAACGCGCGGTGATATGCTTGTTTTACGATCTTCTGCTGCTGGGCTATGCCGGCCTGGCCCTCTAGGTGCTTGGGGGTTAGCGACAGGATGTCGTAGAGCGTGGGCTCGGCTGATGTATTGGATATAGGAAGGGCCATGCCGCCGGAATTGGATTCACACAATTTATTTTCTTTTTTTCTTTTTGAGACGGATTAATAGTCAACTATGTCTGGTGGATCTGTTGATCTGGTGCGAGTTTGAAGTCTTATAACTAGCTCATATTAAAAGGTAAGTTCCATTGTTGTAAGTGGCTTATACCAGGATGGGATAGGATAACTTCGTTGGAAACCGGTTTTGAGGAAAAAGTTCAATGGCGCACGTGGTCACGTGAGACTTAGTTAAGGTTTACTAGTAAGCTATAGAACAGCAGAAATAGGAAGGCAGGACTTAAATAGACGATTGAACGAGGGGAATAGAAGGAATGGCGGGAGAGGAGAAACTAATGTCTTCCTGGGAATAGGTTAGGTAGGTACTTACCGTTGTCAAGCCGGCTACATTGTGATACATGTACCTTCTGATATTAGCACCAAATAGGAAGATTGGCCCACGACACGGTAATAATAACTCCTGGATTTCTTGAAATATTTCTCCAATTCTCTTGAATAGGGTAATATATAAATTTTGTACATTTTTCCTTCCCGGCATCGTAAAGTCATGAGATGATTGTTCATCGTGGATATTTGGTCCACCTGTTCTTCCCGATCTATCATTTCTTGTCAGTAACACATACGAGTAGATAGAAATGAATGACTCACCTTTCGCCATTCTCTGACAAGTCTCGGCATACCCAGCATAGCCGTTCTTCTCTTCTCCATCCTGTCCCTCTTGTTAGTATCGAAATCTTATTCAGGAACAGGAAATGTTCCCCGAGGAGCAAAATGCTGGGCAGGGGGAATTGTATAGCCGTGACGTACTTGGCAGCTAGCATTCTTTCGTGCAAGTGACCCTTGACAGATTGTCCAACACCAGTACCACGAACCCTCAAACCGTGCGCAACTCTGTGCCGTATGCGCTCCTCGGTGCCCTTAGACGTGAACGGCAACAACTCCTCTACTCCCTGTTCCCTCGCCAATTTTACGAGTTCTGCTTGCCGCCTCAGGGAGAATTCCGGATCATGCCATTTCCCAGTGACCGGGTGTTTATGCGGCAGGAAAGGGTTCGGCGTAGCACCGTCCTTGATTGTGTTCGTCCTCGTCGAAGCCGGGAGGATCTGGTTCGGGGGGTACTTGGCGAAGAAACGCTGTAGCCGCGGGTGCAGCTGCTTGGCGAGCTCGATATATCTCGTATTTAACGCCATCCCCCCAATCGCAATCAAGACGCTTCTCTTTTGTTGCGATTAAGAATTTAGTAGTTGGGAAGACGTCTTGCTGGTAACGTGAGAGAAGTCGCAAAATCGTATGTAGAGCTCCCAAATTTTGGTTGCGAATGGCCAAAATGACAAGGTTCCTCTATCTCAATTAAATCTCCGATTGGCTCCCGTCGTTAGCGTTAGCGGTTTGGATTCGGTAGTACTTTGCTACACGTACCGGTACCCCCGACACGCCGATGTCAGTGTTTCTACGTATCTCTTTGCCTCCAACTCAGAAATCTGGAAACAAACAAAAACAAAAGCAACTTGCGCACTGCATTATCTTAATCTAAATACAATTGGCAAATTTAATCCTCGTAGTGGTTAAAATACTTTAATCCCTATGATTCTTCGTCATCCGAATCAATATCAAGATTTATCAGCTAACTACCTGTTCCAAACGTTGAAAGTAATTCCAAAGCTTTAGAAAGTCGTTACAAAGACCTATCGTTCTACGTTAAGGCCTTGCGATCATGGGTATGCAGCCGCGAGCCGGGTCGCTAGCCGACACCAACGGAACCAACGGAACCAACGGCATCAATGGAACAAACGGTGAAACGAACAGGCGGAAAGCACCCTTAGATATCGAAGAGATCTTGCGCAAGAAGAAAGAGGCAAATGAAGCTGCCGCGAAACCAAGATTTATCCCTAAAGCCGAGCGTGAGCGCCTAGCAGCAGAGAAACAAAAAGAGGAGGAGGAGAAGCGAAGGCGGAAGGCAGAAGAAGAAGCACGAAATAAGCCTACTGGTAGATCTACAACCGTGTCAGGACTTGATGGACGGCACCCGGATCGTCGCGACAGAAATCATGCACCAGCTGTTCCGACGGGACCTAGGGCTATGCGCCAAACTGGGCACGATAGACGCGATACCAACGACAACGAAAATGGAGATGCACGAGGGAAATCAAAGGGCAAGAAGGGGTCGGCTGGGGAGAAACGAGCGGCACCAGAAGAAACAGAAGCCGCCTCAATACGAGCGCGATATATGGGCCCAGAAATGAACCAATCTACCTTCTCGGCCAAGAAGAAGCGGAGAAGAACAACAGAAAAGAAATTCAATTTCGAATGGGATGCGGAGGAAGACACAACACAGGATCACAATCCCATCTACTCAGAGAGGGCTGAGCCCACCTTCTTCGGAAGAGGAAGGCTGGCCGGGTTTGGTGACGATATGACAGAAGAGAACGCCAAGAAGTACGCCATGTCTCTGATCGAGCGTGATCCTGAAAACGGGGCGCAACGAGCACAAGAGCTACTGGATATGATGCGAAAGGCGAAGGAGAGGGCTAACCGCAACGGCCTAGGGAAGCACTGGTCAGAGAAGAAGCTAGAGGACATGCGCGAACGAGATTGGCGTATCTTCAAAGAAGATTTTGGTATTGCAACCAAGGGTGGACTCATTCCAAATCCAATGCGAAACTGGCAGGAATCGGGTTTACCTCGTCGTCTGTTAGACATCATCAGCAAAGTTGGGTACGACGAGCCGACTCCGGTCCAGCGTGCCGCAATCCCAATTGCTCTACAGGCAAGAGATCTAATCGGTGTAGCTGTCACTGGTTCAGGAAAGACGGCTGCTTTCTTACTACCTCTACTAGTATACATCTCGGAATTACCACCATTAAATGAAATCACCAAGAATGATGGTCCGTACTCATTAATTATAGCCCCAACTCGAGAGTTGGTTCAGCAGATCGAGTCAGAGGCCAAGAAATTCGCTATTCCGCTAGGGTTTACCGTTGTTAGTCTTGTCGGTGGGCATTCACTTGAAGAACAAGCGTTTGCCTTGAGAAACGGTGCTGAAATTATCGTTGCCACACCTGGTCGTCTAGTCGACTGTATCGAACGACGCCTGCTGGTATTGTCCCAATGTTGCTACATCATCATGGATGAAGCCGATCGTATGATTGATATGGGTTTTGAAGAACCAGTCAACAAGATCTTAGACGCGCTCCCCGTCACCAACGAAAAGCCGGACACCGACGCCGCCGAAAACCCGCAACTAATGAGCCGACATCTTGGCGGCAAAGATCGATATCGACAGACAATGATGTACACAGCCACCATGCCGTCAGCTGTCGAGAAGATCGCGAAAAAGTATCTACGTCGGCCTGCTACGGTAACAATAGGAAATGTAGGAGAAGCTGTAGATACGGTCGAGCAACGGGTCGAATTCGTCCCCGGAGAGGACCGTCGCAAGAAGCGCTTACAGGAGATTCTATCATCCAACGAATTTGCACCGCCTATTATCGTGTTCGTCAATATCAAACGCAACTGCGACGCCGTCGCTCGGGAGATCAAGCATATGGGCTTTTCAGCTGTCACACTCCACGGCAGCAAGACCCAGGAACAGCGAGAACAGGCTCTCGCCTCAGTACGCGGCGGCACGACGGACGTCTTGGTCGCGACAGATCTTGCCGGTCGTGGTATCGATGTTCCGGACGTATCACTCGTCGTCAACTTCAACATGGCTTTGAGTATCGAAAGTTACACGCATCGTATCGGTCGTACGGGTCGTGCTGGCAAGAGCGGTGTTGCTATCACATTCTTGGGCAACGAAGATGCGGATGTCATGTATGACCTGCGGCAAATGCTTTCGAAGAGCTCGATATCTAGGGTGCCGGAGGAGCTGCGCCGGCATGAGGCTGCACAGCAGAAACCAAATAAGGGGCCCAAGAAGCTTGAGGAGAAGGGCTTTGGTGGGAAAGGGGGTGGATGGGACTAGAGTTGGTCCATGTTTAGGTACTTACTGTATTTATGTAACCTATCACGAGGATAATATTATGGCTATGGTCGTTACTACCTCACGGCGGTTGTGCTTAAGTGCGTGCCACCTATCTGGCTGGTTTAGCCGTCACTAGAGGAGAGGTTACATATCAAATATCTTGCTTGAAATTACTTAGATATCCGGGTAGGGTAATTTGAATACCTGCACAAGGGACTAAGTTGCTAGTGTTTTTAAGAATGAGCTTGCGTGGATATAGTATTATGTTATATTGTTATTAACTAGATGGGTATTATGAAGCCAAGGCCCCGGAGTATTTATAGATGGTATATCTTGAGAACGAACTATTGGGTGTATACAGGAGAGATTAGTACTGAAGGAGTTTAAGGGGTAGGTGCAGATAAGAGGCATCATGTTGTAAAAGATGCCTAACTTATATGGTTTGTTCTAGACTTTACATAGTTGACATTTCAAATAGCGAACTTGAACCGAGTATCAATAGGTAGCATCGAATGGATGGATTTCTAGTTGGACTCAGTTTCGGTTGTATGGGGATCTACATTCCCTATGTTCTAGAATCACCAATTAAGATGCGACCCTGCATGACATTTTGTTTCCAAAGTCGCAGTCTCGGGGGAAACGGCCGGCTGCAGCGCTACTGATACCAACCAGTTACCTACCAGTTACCTACCAGTTACCGGAGTAGGTAAGTACTCGCTCTGTCGGTATCCAACCCCTGCAACATCCCGCTACACCGCCTGCCCTACGTGGCGTTATTTTTGCGCTTTCAACTTTTTTTTTTCCTTCTTTCCCTCTGCCGCACCAAAATATCCTTGTCCTCTATATTTTTGATACCTTGAGGGCCGATTATCTAAAGAGGGCTCAGTTTGTTAGGTACCTAGCACATGCACATACACAGAAGTTTTGATCTGTTGTTTGTCTACATTAGGTACCTAAGCTGTCTGTCTGGTTATTTGATAATGCACGAATAGGGAATCTCCCTGGCTGCCCCTCACTACGAAGAAGAACTGAAACTGTACTTGGTGGTAGTTATACATATATCCATACCTATTTGTATGTATGTACTTGAGTACCCCTCCATTGTAGTACCTACCTAGGTACCTAACCGCATATAAATTTCCCGGAGTTACTAGACAATCTGCTAATTTGGATTATATTTGACAATTGCATTATATTATATGACAGTTGTATTATATCACCCTCTTTCCCCTTCTCCTTCCTTGCACATATGTCTTTGCGCGCCGCTAGTCGTGTCGACTTCGTCCCTCGAGTCTCAACAGCCACACGGCTTCGATTAAGACCACGTACTCTCCCACGTACTCTTCCGCCAACCGCATCTCAGTGGAGACAAAATCACATCTGGTGCACTCCTGCCTTATCCTCTCCACCTTCCTACCGGTATTCCTAACCTAATTGACCGCTCTTCTAAGCCAATTAGACTCCTAGACTAATGCGGAAGCTAGGCTTAGTCCACGTCTTGGGAATCATTCCTCACTCACTTCTGTCTCACGAACATCTCCTTTCGAGAAGTCTAGAAACACCACTCTCTCGACACCCCTTGTTCGACATTGCTCATACCGGAGACAAAACATGTGTAAGCTTGCTGGAGACATTGACCATACCGGAGGGGCTACCCCGGACCCCACCCAGGGCCGTGAGCTCCTCCCGACCAACGTCATCCCGAGACATTACGATGTCACCTTAGAGCCCAACTTCGAAAAGTTTACCTTCGACGGTAAGGTGCTTATCGACTTCGACGTCCAAGAACATTCCAAGTCTATCTCCCTCCACACCCTCCAGATCGATATCCACAGCGCCAACATCAAATCCGGAGACAGCATTATTAGGTCAGCTTATATCTTTCTAGTTAAGTTAACAAGTACTACCATTCTAACATGTCCGAGCAGCTCATCTTCGGCAATCACGTACGATGAGTCCAAGCAGATCACCAGCATCGAGCTCAATGATGCCATCCCGAAGGGCAAGGCCCAGTTGGAAATCAAGTACTCTGGTCAGCTCAATGACCAGATGGCCGGTTTCTATCGCTCTACCTACAAGAAGCCAGATGGCTCCGAAGGTGTCCTCGCTACCACGCAGATGGAAGCAAACGACTGCCGCCGGGCTTTCCCGTGCTTCGACGAGCCCATGCACAAGGCCAAATTTACTGTCACTCTCATTGCGGATAAGCACCTGACATGTCTCAGCAACATGGACGTCGCGTCCGAATCAGAAGTGCAATCGGAATTCAGTGGATCTACAAAGAAGGCCGTCAAGTTTAACACGACGCCTCTTATGTCGACTTACCTAGTCGCCTTCATCGTGGGCGAATTAAGTTATATCGAGACCAACAAATTCCGTGTCCCAGTTCGAGTGTACGCCCCGGCTAGTTCAGATATCGAACACGGCCGCTTCTCGCTCGAGCTCGCAGCGCGGACTTTGGAGTACTACGAGAAAATATTCGGAGCCGAATTCCCGTTGCCCAAAATGGACATGGTTGCTATCCCCGATTTCGCGGCGGGCGCTATGGAAAACTGGGGTTTGATCACCTACCGTGTTGTCGACCTTATGCTGGATGAGAAGGCCAGTGGCGCGGCAATGAAAGAACGCGTCGCCGAGGTCGTCCAGCATGAGCTAGCACATCAATGGTTCGGCAACTTGGTGACTATGGACTGGTGGGAAGGTCTATGGTTGAACGAAGGGTTTGCGACTCTGATGAGTTGGCTAAGTGAGTTTCCTGTGTCATTCTGGTTAATATGAATGATTAGCTGACAATAATAATCCACTTAGGCTGCAACTACTTTTACCCAGAATGGAAGGTCTGGGAAAATTACGTTACTGACAATCTCCAGAGTGCCTTGGGACTGGACTCGTTGAGGAGCAGCCATCCTATCGAGGTGCCGGTCAAGCGCGCCAGTGAGGTTGACCAGATTTTCGATGCCATTTCATATTCCAAAGGTTCATGTGTTCTTCGTATGATCTCTACATATCTTGGCGAGGAGACTTTCCTGGAGGGTGTCAGAAGATACATTAAGAAGCATGCCTACGGCAACACACAGACAAATGATTTGTGGGCGGCCCTTGAGGATGCCAGCGGCAAACCGGTCCGGGAGATCATGTCCATCTGGACTAAGAATGTAGGCTATCCCGTAGTCCAGGTTACGGAAAACGAGAAGGACAGTTCTATTCGTGTCAAGCAGAATCGATTCCTAAGAACTGGTGACACTAAGCCTGAAGAGGACAAAGTATTATATCCGGTTTTCTTGGGCCTCCGAACGAAGGATGGCGTAGACGACTCATTAACGTTGACGAAGAGGGAAGATGTGTTCAAGGTTAAGAACTTGGACTTCTTCAAGCTGAATGCAAACCATACCAGTATCTACCGTACGTCCTACACACCGGAACGCCTCACAAAACTGGGCCAATCTGCCAAGGATGGGCTGCTAACAGTTGAGGATCGTGCTGGTATGATTGCCGACGCTGGTGCTCTTGCTGTGTCAGGCTACCAGAAGACTTCTGGTGTTTTGAACCTACTAAAAGCGTTTGACACAGAGGAGTCGTTCGTGGTGTGGAGTGAGATCATTGCCAGGGTTGCAACCGTCCAATCTGCGTGGGTCTTCGAGGACTCAGCCGTCAAGGATGGCCTCGAAGCCTTTGTGAAAGAACTTGTTAGTGAGAGAGCTCACAAATTAGGATGGACCTTCTCAGACAAGGATGGCCACGTTGAACAGCAGTTCAAAGCCATGCTGTTCGGCGCAGCTGGAATGGCTGGTGACCAGGAGATCATCGACGCGTCTAAGGAGATGTTCAAGAAATACATGGACGGCGACAGGTCAGCTATCCACCCGAATATCCGAGGAAGCGTTTTCAGCTTAGCTCTCAAGTATGGTGGAAAGGAGCAGGTAGGCTTTATACGTTGAATACTCACCTAACGATTACTAATTCATATTCCAGTACGATGCGCTTGTCGACTTCTTCCGCAAGTCCAGTAACAGCGATGAACGTAACACAGCACTACGATGCATCGGTCGGGCAAAAGACCCGGCCCTAATCAAGCAGACATTAGACTTCGTCCTCAGCGGCGAAATCAAGAGCCAGGATCTATACCTTCCAGCAAGCGGACTCCGCAGCCATGCCGAGGGTATCGAGGCGCTCTTTAGCTGGCTAACTGAGAAATGGCCAGAAATATCTAAGCGACTTAGCGGAAACGCGCCTATCCTGGGTTCGATGGTTACCATCTGTACATCTAGCTTTGCAAAGGCGGATCAACTCCAGAAAGTGGAGGAATTCTTCAAGGACATTGACACTAAGAACTTTGCCCAGCCCCTTGCTCAAAGCAAGGATGCCATTCGCAGCAAGATTGCATGGCTGGAGCGTGACCGTGACGATGTCGCGAAATGGGTTAAGGAAAACGGATACAGTTCGTGAGCGATGAATCGACATGATATTCTCGTACGGGTTTAGAGGGTATTTGCTAGGTATGTGTTTAGAGGAGAAGCACGAGAGATACCCGTAGAAAAGGATAGAAAAGCAATCGCCAATCATAAGAAGTAAACAAGCATTATATTTATTCCCCCCCTTTTCCTTATAAGCTAATGTGTAGACTTGCTTGTTCGTCTATGCATAGTATGTATAAAGGGCCTTAAGTATACCCAGGAATATAAGTACCTGGTAAGTAGCATGTGAAACTTCGGTTGTTTCCGTATATAGGTACGTATTAATAACCCCCTTTTTATTTGTCATGAATAAGTATTACCCTCGTGTTCTTATTAAGGTCGCTAACATTGAACAACTACATATAGCCTTAGTATAGAATTAGAAGAGGGTTGTCTAAAGTTGTTACATAATAACCTTTAGTCAGTGCTGTGATGGTCAATAGTATACCTTACCTAAGGTATTGACATGAAGTATTGATTAATCTAAATCTAGCCCCTCTTCCCAACAGAGCTTGCGAGGCAGGCGAGGCAACCAAAATAGGGGCAGAACTAGAGCAACTTGTAGAGCAACTTGTAGAGCCCCTACCCTTGCAAAGTAGCCAAGTAGGTTAGAGCTTTCTAAGCTCTTACTGCAGGTGTCCTAGACGTTGTGTCGGGCCGGTAAGGGGGCCAATAGACCTACTAGCCAACAATTTTAGTTTTTACAATATCATATCAATTTCCAGCCATGGCCACTGATGATATGTGATGTTAGAATGATGTTGTATTGGTAAAGATTGGTGGAAATCTTATATATGCAGTTATGCGATTGCACCTTCCTACACCACCATAGGAGGTAGCCACGGAGTAATTTGAGGTACTTTCTGTGAGGGTACTTCTGTAGCCAAGTAAGCTTGGCAGGTAAGACATGTATCTATGGTGCAGTTTCGATGCAAGTATTGTGGTACACAGTCAGAACAGTGGCCCCTCCCCTCCTCCCCTCCTCCCTCCGATGTCATCCTGATCATTGATGAGGTCCGTCGCCGGACCCCGCCAATTGCTAAGTCCAATTGTAAGTCGTGCCATTCCGTTTGTTCACTCACGTTGTCCGTCCAGCCCACGCTGCAGCAGCCCACTTACATCAAACGGAGGTGTTACTAGGTACCTACCTATGTACCTCTAACATTTCTTGCCTTATTGAAACTCAACTTTTTTTCTTTCTTTTCCCTTCTACTACTTCTTCATCAATTCACCTTGTTACACCAAGTCCTACCTTATACCCTTTGAAAATAGTAAGTTTACAAGCTTCATTCTCTCAGCCTGTTGTGAATTTGTTCACGCGCCAATGCCAATGCAAATGCCAATATCCCAATTTCTTCTATTGATGACATCTTGAGCTACCCCGCCATCCCGCCATCCCACCATCCTCCTCCTCCCCCCTCCACTTCTAACGACCCCTACATTTTTCTTCTATCAATACCTACTCAACTCTTGAGGCATATATCTACTTTTTCGGATTGAGTCGCTCATCAAGGTTCCTACTGAGCGAATTTCCTGTCAACGTATTTCTTTTTATTAATTACTTAGACCCTCGCTGTATTTCTTCCCAAGTTTTTTCCAACTTTCAACCCTTCGTAGCTAACTAACTCAACGGTTTTCCCTAGTTCCCAACCTATATTCGCTATATTCGGACATCAAGATGGCCATCAAGAAGATCCATGCCCGCTCGGTCTACGACTCTCGAGGCAACCCTACCGTAGAGGTAGATGTTGTCACCGAGACTGGTCTTCACCGCGCTATCGTTCCTTCTGGAGCTTCCACCGGTTCGTGCCATTATAACGAATTCTCTCAAGATATCTTGCGGACTAACACGGTATAATAGGTCAGCACGAAGCCTGCGAGCTCCGTGATGGTGACAAGAGCAAGTGGGGTGGCAAGGGTGTTACCAAAGCCGTCGAGAACGTCAACAGCATTATCGCCCCCGCTGTCATCAAGGAGGGTCTTGATGTGAAGGACCAGAGCTCGGTTGACAAGTTCCTAAACAGCCTCGACGGAACACCGAACAAGACGAAGCTTGGTGCCAACGCTATCTTGGGTGTCAGTCTTGCCATTGCTAAGGCTGGTGCTGCTGAGAAGAACGTGCCTCTGTACGCTCACGTCTCGGATCTTGCTGGCACTAAGAAGCCCTACGTCCTGCCCGTTCCCTTCCTGAACGTGTTGAACGGCGGTTCTCACGCCGGTGGCCGTCTGGCTTTCCAGGAATTCATGATTGTCCCTTCCAAGGCCCCTACCTTCTCCGAGGCCCTACGCCAAGGTGCTGAGGTCTACCAGAAGCTTAAGGTTCTTGCCAAGAAGAATTACGGCCAATCTGCAGGCAACGTCGGTGACGAGGGTGGTGTTGCTCCCGATATTCAGACTGCCGTCGAGGCTCTTGACCTCATTACTGAGGCCATCGAGCAGGCTGGCTACACAGGCAAGGTAAACATCGCTCTGGATGTAGCTTCCAGCGAGTTCTACAAGGAGGATGTCAAGAAGTACGACCTGGACTTCAAGAACCCTGATAGCGACCCCACCAAGTGGATCACCTACGAGGAACTTGCTGCCCTGTACAGCGACCTCGTCAAGAAGTATCCCATTGTCAGCATTGAGGACCCCTTCGCAGAGGACGACTGGGAGGCGTGGAGCTACTTCTACAAGACCCAAGACATCCAGATCGTCGCTGACGACCTGACTGTCACCAACCCTATCCGCATCAAGAAGGCTATTGAGCTTAAGGCCGCCAACTCTCTACTCTTAAAGGTCAACCAGATCGGAACTCTAACCGAGTCCATCCAGGCTGCTAAGGACTCTTACGCTGACGGATGGGGTGTGATGGTTTCTCACCGATCTGGTGAGACCGAGGATGTCACCATTGCCGACATTGTCGTCGGTATCCGAGCTGGCCAGATCAAGACTGGTGCCCCCGCTCGATCTGAGCGTCTCGCCAAGCTCAACCAGATCCTCCGCATCGAGGAAGAACTCGGAGACAACGCCATCTACGCTGGCGAGAACTTCCGCAAGGCTGTCAACCTATAAATAGACAGGAACTCGGAAATCCCATACACACATAATGCGTTACGATAGGAATGACTGGGGGCGGGTGAGCTCGGGTAAAAACGGTCACCTATTATTTTAGCTACCTAGTTAGTAAATTCAAATGAAATGTCTGAACAATTTGGTTCGAGTTCGTCTCGTCTTGGAGTATATGCTTATTTTCGGTGTCTCCTAGCTGCAGCCATGCGGCCGAAGCCGAACTCTCGGCATTAGAACGTGAACTATTCGGGTGTCTACGCTAATTCTCCGGCTGCATATTGCGGCTTACGAACATGGCATTCCTTCGTATTCTAAGGACGAAAGTAGTCCGGTTCTAGTAGGGGAGAACGGAATGTTTGACATTTAGGATTTAGGGAATGGCTACAGTTTTCGTATGATATGGTCGTAAATATGTACGGGCTATTAATAACCTATTCACATAGAGTAATATAATAAGAGAAAGATTAGAGTATGGCATTCGTCTTAGTCGACTGTTATGGACGGCCTAGTAAGTTTAATTAATATTAACCTTTTGGTGAAAAGCTGTAATAATCTCCAAGGGCTGTTTATTCTAGCTCCGACTTCATACTTGACAATACTTCTCTATGATAGAGGGAAGGGTACTAGGTAGATCCTACCTCTACATATCGTTCTAAATGTATCAACTTAGCTACAGTATATGGTAATTACCTACCTAGGTAAGTGGCAACTCAACAAGCTACAGGGTGGAAGTATTCGTATATTGACGTGTGGGTGGATAGAGCAATATGGCCAAATCAAAGACTTGCCGGTTTTCTTGAATGGCATGATATTCTATTGTTATGACTCTATGTCTTTCTATGATGACGACTGGCACGGCATGATACGAGATAGATAAATCTATACATAGCGGAGACATGGTACTACATAAGTGGGTGATCAGGCAATGAATCACGGAATGCGTCGATGTAGACAGTAATGACGCATAATCATTCGATATCATTAGAAAGGAGCTAATCTAGTCCTAGGAGTCGCTCTATCTCGTTTGACAGCGATCCCATTTGATATCCTCGTAGATGCAACTACCGCTATACGTATACTCTGAATTACCTGCCCATGATGTTAGTTGAGCTTCGATTGCTAACGTGATTCATGTAGAAAAAGCGAAAAGCGATCAATCCATCTCTGTCAGAAGTCCGTTGAATACATTTCAGACCCGAGGGCCCGATGATATAAGAGGTACCAGAAAATAATATGAAATAGTTGTGTGTATCATCATGAGAAAGGGAGGCGGAATCGAAAGTAGAGGAGGGTTGGAAAAGGGAAAAGCTTACCTGTATGATGGATTGCGACGTAGAAAAAGCTACTTTACACGGCTGGTCTATGAAGAATAAATTCAAGTTCTAACCTCGAGATACACGAATAAGTGCCTCTGCCGAGTCAAGTTGCGAATGGTAATCATTGTTGTTGACCAAGAAGGAAAAAAAAGGTGGGAAGTGAAGAAGCTACGAAAATTTGTCTTGGTCTGGACTAGGCACTAGCAAACCCGGCAAATCTTCGGGGTAACATACCTGAAAAAAAGAAAAAGTGGGTTCTATGCATTGACCACCGGAGGGCAACAGAAGCCGACACACAATTTCACCCAGCATCTTTTCAAAAATTAAATCCTCCAAAAACTTCACTCACGATCTCCACGATCTCCAACTACCTCAGACAATTCCGACAACCACCACAAGTCGACAAACACATCCGCCAAAATGGGTCGTCTTCACTCCAGGGGAAAGGGTATCTCCGCTTCTGCGATCCCCTACTCGCGCAACCCGCCCGCGTGGCTCAAGACTACTCCCGCCCAGGTCGAGGAGCAGATCTGCCGTCTCGCCCGTAAGGGTGCTTCCCCCTCTCAGATCGGTGTCGTTCTCCGTGACTCCCACGGAATCACCCAGGTCCGCTTTGTTACCGGTATGGAATAGATTATCTCAATCAGTCCCGTTTGACAATAGCTAATCCCGAAATCTAGGTAACAAGATCCTCCGCATCCTCAAGTCCAATGGTACGACATGAATGAATGATCCCTCCCCTCGAAGCCAGCGAAATGCTGCGCAGTCCAACAATCTGAATATCATGAGTGTTCCTGGAACGCCGTGGTATATAACAATGCCGCTGTTGGTCAAGGCTGACAGTGCGATCTTCATATAGGCCTCGCCCCCGAGATTCCTGAGGATCTGTACATGTTGATCAAGAAGGTGAGTCAACTCGTTTGCAAGAAAGACCATTTTGGAATGCTAACGATAATACCCGGTAGGCCGTCTCCGTCCGAAAGCACCTAGAGCGCAACCGCAAGGACAAGGACGCCAAGTTCCGCCTGATTCTGATCGAGTCCCGAATCCACCGTCTCGCCCGTTACTACAAGACCGTCGGTGTCCTACCCCCGACCTGGAAGTACGAGAGCGCCACGGCCAGCACCATCGTCGCATAAGCGTAAGCAACGAGCGCGCGCGCGGAGGATGATTTGCATGTGGAATGCCTGGTCTGGTCATGGAGTTCGCGTGGAAAACGGAATTGCTTTTCGGGCAGCCACAAAAGTGATGAGTGCCTGATTATTCTACTAGTTGCCTGAGAAAGGTGATGAATAAACAATTACACAAGAGATCAATACGAGTCTCGTGAAGAACAAGAGTATTAGTTATTTGCTTGATCCCTAGTGCTTTCGGTGAATCTAGATCCTGCAATGTCCTAGCGAGTCTATATTAGTCCTCCTAATAGTAATCGTTCGTTTCTAAAGTAATGGTATCATCGTGAAAGACGAAATCTATAATGCGGAATCTGTAATGACATAATTGATTCTTTTCCCTCTCCCGGAACTCCATTCTCATGCTTGCTTGCCTACTACCTGGCTTAACCTTACCCTCACTGTGTTGTCGACTCGAGCTCCTTGGAGCGCTGGAGCAAGTACTCGCCCAGAGCGCGCAGGGGATCCTTGGGTCTGTGAACGTAAACGTAACATTAGCATCCGTACCGTCACAATCCACAATTGCACAATCCCCAAACCAAGTAGGTAGGCTTCTAAGCAATCCTCCACGCAAGTAAATAGACAGACATAGACAGACAGACAGACACATAGCAAATCCTAGCCCCAATCCTCAATAACAATCAAACGTAAAACTGAAGTCTTAAAACTTACTGCTCCTTGGCAATCAACTTCATGCCGTCCAGCAACGGGCCCGTGACCTTGGAGTTGAGGTACTGGCGGACGGGGGCGCCGTGGGGCGGGGCCTCGGCGGGCATGGTGAAGCCCGGGTCCGGGTGCTGGGAGGCGGCGCGCGAGGAGGAATTGGCTTCTTGCTGGCCGTTGGTTGCGCGGAGGGGCGTGCCGGTGCGGGCGGGGGGTGCGGTGGTGGTGGTGGTAGTGGTGGTAGTGGTGGCGGCGGCTGGGCTGGGGCTTGGTGCGTTGGAGGGCGTTGTTGCGGGCGCGGGTGCGGGTGCGGGTGCGGTTGTGGTTGTGGGTGCGGCGTTGGTTGTGGTGGTTGTGGTGGTGGGGGCTGGGGACTGGAGGGGGAGAGAGGGTTGGTTAGTTGATGGATGGATAATATATCAATTGGTAGTTTGATTTGGTTTGGTTTGGGAGGGAAGTGTTTTGTGCGTTAGGCAGACATGGAGCTTGGACTACGTACTGCTGCTTGCTCGGTGCTGGGAGCGGGAGGTGGTTGCTCAATGGTCATAGCTGCTGCGTCTCCGGCGAGAGATGATGTTGTTGGTGGTGGTGTCGTTGTGTCGGGTGCCAGGGCTGGTTGCCCGTAGACGTGAGGTACTGGAACGGGTGTCTGGCGGATCTCGTCGGCCATGTTTACAGCGGGTTACTGTTACTGTTGCAGCTGTAAAAAGGAATAATTGTTGGGGTGATGGTGATGGTGATGGTTGATGGTTCGTGGGGAATTTGAGCTTGAGATGTGGAAATCTGGATATGCGTATGGGGATGGGGATGTACCTATCCTATAGAGGTACAATATATGTCGCATCTCCTAAGCAGTAAGAGCCGTACTGATGCATAGGAGGTACTTTCTCTGTACAACCCTTGATCCCGTGATCACGCGTTCCCACTCTAGTTCCCTGCGCTAAGGGAAAAGGGAATCCGCGTCCCGCCACGCGTTTCATTGTATGAAGTCATCTTTTGTCTTTTTCTCTCTGCAACTTCATCCAACATGCATCGCCTGTGGGGTGAGCGATAATGGACGCTTTTCTTATTCGGAGATCACCCCAATTGAAAGATAGACATGCCCATGCGACGGATGAGCCGCCTTCTAAGAGGGTTAAGAGGGTTAAGAGGGATGAGAGTCACGTGGGCGCTGAGGGTTCAGATGAAGACCTTCGGCCTGGGAGTCCACTGTTGAAGCGTTTGCCGGTGGTGCGGCGAGTAGATACTCTGGCTTCGGAGCTTGGTGATGACGATACCCCGCAGAATTCGGAGGCAGAGGCAGAGGCAGAGGCAGAGGTAGATGCAGAAGCTGACGTACCGAGGCGGACTGCCATTGAGGATTCACTGCCCGAGACCAAGTCTGGAAAAGAAGCCTTGGAAGAATATGAAAATTTCAGAGCGTCACAAGACGATGGGGGCTCTGCATCTGCTGCGTCGAGATTAGATTCGAGGAAGTGGGTGAGAGGTAAGACGTCACTCTATGTTGATGCTTTTAACCTCGCTCTTGGCACGGTTCTCGATGAGGAATCTCATTTATTCGATGACAAGGAAATGTATATTTTTGGCCAATGGAATAAGCTAAGCTATGACGCCCAATTCCTGTATGTGACTTACGAGGCTCATTCTTCTATTATCTATTCTGACCTAGAATTGCAGATACGTGCGGCTATTCCTCAGGAAGACTGCATCGTGGCACCGTATCGCTCGTCTACGTTATCACGATGATATTTCAGATACCGAGGCAGCCGTTAGTGAATTACAGGAGAACCGGGATTTACCAACCAGTTCTTCCGGTCCTGACCCTGCCTTTATATCCACGAACCCGGAACCTGATTCTTTGGCTCAAGATCAATATTTGTTTAGTGACAATTTCACTTTTGCAGATACATCAGAGCAGTATATTACCAGTGTCGAAGAAGCTGTGGAACTCCTAAGCTTAGATGAGGTCAAAGCCTTGGCTAAAGAGGCCAAGGTGCAAGGCAAGAATAAGGCCGAGCTTGCAAGATCTATCTGCAGAATGAGCAATCAACAAGCAGGCCTCTTTTCGTTAGGCCTTAGCCGGTCTAGCACTATTGCGTCCGTCGACTCGCCAGGACGTGATACACCAGAGGTAGACACTCCAGCCCCAGATCCTAGTGAAGATTCCAACAGGAGAAAGCATTTCTTGGATAAAATCTCAGCTATAGCTGGGCCTTGTATAAGGCTTTCCTTACCCGTTTTTAAATTATTCGAGAGGGTTCACCTAGTCTTTTATAGGTCTACCGAATGGACAGAGAAGTCTCTGACCACGATTATTCTTGCGAAGATATCAAAACGCAACTTCCCCAAATACATCGTCAGCAGATCTGCAAATATTTTCAACTCGAGGGCTCAGTTGTTGGAATTCGAGACAGCTATGAGGAATGAATACGCCGTTGACAATATTTTGGAGTTTAATGGACCCGCCACAGAGGTGGCCTTTCGAAAGGTAATAGAGATTTTTGAGAAAATATATCCGAGATGGAAGACTCTTCTTCGGGAAGAGCAGGAGAAAGAGGAGAGAGTCTATGAATCTGGAGAAGGCGCTTACTTGAGGAGGCTCAATCCTGCTCATCCATACACTCGAATCGTTCATAAAGCAGCCCACGTTTTTGGCCGGTTGAAAGAACACCAGCGAGAACATGCACTTCTGACCGAGTTACTTGGCCAGCGCCTATTCCACTTGGCTCGCCGGGGCTCTTGGTATCAGCGAAAGGCTCTACTAGAGGAGCATTACATGTATGCTCTAGAGACCGATCCTACCTATAAGGATTCGGACCTGCAGAAAAAGCATTGGAAGCGCATTGCAGCGACTACCTGCGAAACTGCCTTGGAGGATCGAGATTGCCATATGATCTATCATTATGATATACAGAAAAGGTTGGTTAAACTTGAGAAGCAGCTCAAAATTCCGAAACGTTTACAACATGATTTCGGTCACGTCCGACTGCAGAAACCTGAAGAGCATTTTGTCGAAGGAATTCAGCTGAAAAAGGACGATGTACTAGGCAAGAAGGGGAGGGGTGCGAGTACTAAAACTATATGGGTAGACGAGGCTGAGGGCGGAGGCGAGTGTAGCGTGGAAGCCATGTGTTTGAGTTGGTACAGGGACCAGGGCTGGAAAGGCTATCATGCCGAAGGAGGTATCGTAAGGACACTCTTCGCGTACCTCTTTTTCGATATACTCTTCCTCTACATACCGAACGTCTTTCAGACCGAGTACCAGACGTGCCCGCTGGATCTGCACACCGACGCCTTCTACCCCACCAGAGCGTCTGAGATCAATCACCGCCTGGTCGAGATCGCAAACGGTGATGCGGTGAAGCTGGTCAAGGAGGTCGACCGGCGGGAACGCGATAATCGTACTTGTGTCGTCGGGCTCAACTGGGATTACGAGCTGGAGGACCTCCTCGAATTGGCTAGCTGCTTCGACGGGGCAGCACTAGCCGCCATATGCAAGGTCATAGCACAGGAATATGGCCAGAGAGGTGGTGGCATACCAGACTTGATCCTCTGGAGAGCAGAACCGAGCAAGGAAGTGATGTTCGCCGAGGTTAAGAGCGCCAATGATCGTCTCAGTGATACGCAGAGGCTGTGGATTCACGTCCTTACCGGCGCTGGCGTAAGGGTGGCTCTATGCAATGCCGTGGCAAAGGAAGTCAGGGAGGTCAATAAAGATGAAAGATGACAGAAGCCAGTAAAATGAAGGCGCAAACGAAAACAGAAGAGATAGAGGTTAGATCTCTCTCCACGATGGTTTTATTAGTGGCGCGTTGGTGGCGTTCACGCGTGGGGGATGCGAGCATGTACGGGGCAGTCTGTATGTATGCCCTAGATGCAGCTTCAGAATCATGCGAGACTTACATGAGACGCAAGCCAGGGAAGAGATGATTTACTACCGACACATTCCGATTAGCTAGTGTGTTGTCCCATCCAGAGATCGCGGTAAAACGACAGGACGAATCAGCATTATCGCAAGAGTAGCCACCGTCAGGAATAGGTAGCTACCTACTCAAGAATATGACCTGTGCCATCTACTCATGACTCTCGTCTGCGAAATTTCTTAATTAGCTGGTCTCGTTGACAGTGTCAAAACAAATCGGAAATATTTCACCTTCACCTCTATCTACTTACAGCCTCTCTCACAAAATGGCGGTCAATAACCCACGAAGCGGAGCCCTGCGACTCGAATGCATGTATTGAATGCCAATGTGGATACTCGAGTAGCCGAAAGAAGCGCGAAGTACATCACGATGCGTCGATATATGTACTCATCATACGCCTCAAGGTAAGATGTACTTGTTCTAATAGGTGTGTCCTTAGGTGTATATCCTAACCCCTTTAAATTTTTGGTAACGACACCACAATTGTTACCAGCTCCGGGTATTCGTTCTCGAGAGCGAAGAAAGACGATGTAAGTGCCCTTCTACCGGTGGCAAATGTAATATACACGCAATAGTCAATAGCTAGAATAGAATTATACGCACGTATACCTGCCAATACCTCAGCTCAAGAAATCTTACGCGTAAGAATAACTGCCGTGATAGTTCAGATGACTGCCACGTATCTAGTTTTGCTCGCAACTCTCTCTACGCGCTTAAGCAAGCATACGGTAGAACGTCTCATAGGGCACTCTAGAGCAAAATGTAAACAAAGATGCTAGAGATGGACCTGGTTAGTCGACGGCACCGGCTCCTTTTCCAGTGTAGATTGGCCTATCTGTAGAGCCTTGTCTGTCTGGACAAGCTAACAGATGCGTGACCTCATGGAGTAGGATCTGGTTGATCCCGTGTAGACACTAGAGCCAGTAGTCCAGGCTTGACATTGCGATTCCAGCCTATGGCGAATTCCAATGCTACGGCGGCATTCTGCATCGTCTGCTAAAATCCAATAAATATATCTCTACTCCTAACAACAACAACAACAACAACAACAACAACAACAATAACAAACAACTCCACGACATCGGCACTGCGATAATCGCCACGCACTAGCTCATAATAGCTCCATCTCTGTTGACGACCAGGTGAGATCCACGTTGCGCTTAACATAGGATTCGGTACTTGTTCGTCATGCTAAAGATTATATCGGCATACGGTTATAGGTAAAGACCAACACTCGATGACATGGCCGAGCTATCTCCAATACGGCTTATTGTCTGCATATTGAGACCCCTTAGCTCGTGCACTAATGTTCAAGTTAGTCAAGTTAGGCGCAGCCGTTTCCTGCAGGATAGCGACGAAACCAACATCTTTAGCAACCATGAGCAACCATGAGCAACCATGAGCAACCATGCCGACGAAGCTATATGATAAGCGCGCAAAGGCGACTAAGGAGGAACCTTTTTGAGGAATAGTTGGCGTGGGAATTAGCAAGGTTAACCGGCGCTTAGATGGGGGCACGGCGCCTCCACAGCATTGGGTTACTTGGCAAATCTGACTGGCATAGAAGGTTTCTAGACGAACTTCACTTCGAGTTATAAGGATTGTTTATCGTTTTGATGGCCTCGCGTTCTGGCATCATGACTACCTAGACAGACCCCTCTTTTGGCTGGCGCCCATACTCCAGCCTCGTAGAAGCGCGCGCTGGGGAGGCGTCGAATATGAGACTTAGAAGGGTTCTCGTGGTAAATTGTAGACTCCAACTCCCCCAAGGCAGACTCCGTTGAGGACCTCCTAGCCAACGACAGCTCGAGGATGTCTTCGATCTATGTCGTGCATCATGTGGCGCGCGCTCCGCTTAAGTCTGGCTAAGACCAGGAGCCGCAAAATAGGACAAAGGATCTATTCATGGGAAGTACACGACCTTTAATTGAACAAATTAAGCGAAAAACAAAACAGGCATGGCGAGCCGCGCGCTGGATGAAGCAGAAAGACATGAAGTGTAGAACATGGCTTGAAGAATGTAGATTGTTGAAGATTAGAGAGAGAGGGAGAGAGAGGGAGAGAGAGGGAGAGAGAGGGAGAGAGAGGGAGAGAGAGAAGCGAGAGAAGACTGAAATCTGTACATAAACGAGGCCTCGCCCCCAGACTTCACTTCACGATCATGTCTTTGAATAGCAACTGTTGAGTAATACAAGTACACAGCGGGAAGAGTCTTGGGCTAAACTCATCGACAATCTGAAACAACGTTTCTGAAAATATCTTACCTCTCTATCCACGTACGACACTACTACATAATATATCTGCATCTGCATCAGCATCCCTTATCGACGGTCATCCCGCGATCCACTCTTCAGCTCGTTCAGCTTAACCTCCAATTACCAGGTGGAAAGCTGACAGCAATATAAATTTTGCTTTTTGTGTGTGTTGTGCACAAAAGGTTTACTGTGGTAAACTCAGCCACAAGGGATTTATTGCCGCTGAAGTTTTAAGTTAAGGTGAGTCGTGAATGGTGATGGTTTTGGTATTGGCGATGGTAAGTGGTTGTTCTCCGTGACGGAAAGCAAAATAAAAGACAGGGGGGAGGGAGGCCGAGGGGAAAAGGTCAAATCAGAAGGGTAGGCAACGGAACGGCGCTAATCAGGAGCCAAATATAGCAAATACACAGTAGCGGCAGCGCTTAACCCAAGTACCGAATACCTCCGAACCACTTAAACTCACCAGCGAGATCCCGGGATATTGCGCCTGGCAAACCGCACCGACCGGGGGCCTTTAACCAATTAGATACAAGATTAGCTACGCACTTAAACAAAGCTGGCCTAAGTCGACGGTAACCCCAGTACAGGTAACTTATACCTTTGGGAGCCTTTTATTATTATTATTATTATTATTATTTTATTTTATTTTCTCGGGGTGAATCATTTTAAACAGGATGTAAGTCAAGTGCTCCCTCTCCTATGTAATATCGTCTAGTGTAAACCCCCTTCAATTCTTTACATACCTCCCTATTACAGCCTTGATCCAGCTTTAACACAACCTAGACTAATCAGACTAATCAGACTAATCAGACTAATCACGAAATAGAGTCAGCAGCACAGAAAAGAAAGATACCTATAATTACTCAATTGTACATTACAATCGTATATACAATTGAAGCTATAAAAGGGTTGGTTCTTTAAAGGCACCTGATTGATCCCTGTTGCCTATTCGTAGCCAATCCGCAGCCAATCCTGAGACGCCTTCACTTTACACTTCTACCACTGGCCCATTACTACCGCTGTCCTCGACTAAGCTTGACCTTGCTCTACCCTTCGCGCCAGCGTTGACTACTTTTTGTTATTGTTATTATTTTTATTTTTATACCTCTCCACCAGCTGGGCCACAAGTCAACCTTCCTTGTTCAAATACTGGAATCCGTCTACAGCGCGTACGGGTAATAAACACAGTTAGGAGGTACACTTTTACCTATTGTCACCAGAACAGACGCCTACCCCGTCTGAGCCCTCGCATACATACCCGGGGACTCACTCCTGGAGCCACACCCCCCTACCTTGGCCCTACCTTGGATCTGTCACATCGATTCTAGTGTCCCTAACCGGGAAGTAGCTTAGCTTCCCGTTGGCGCCTTTGTCTCAGCATCGACTAGGTATTCTGCCACGGATGCTTGCCCATCCCATTATCCCTGTCCACCACGCAGCAACCTTATCCTTGACCCGCCAGAGTTACATAGGCATTATAACAACCATCACTCCCTCTCACCCACGACGCACATCTTCTCGACTCTTCCTCTACAACGGCGACTTCTCCGCAGCTCCTAGGCATCCCGTCTTCTCATCCTTCCGAGTCATTCGCTTGACTTGAAGCTACTCAACTATTCAACAACCAACTTTCTACTTAACTACCACTTAGACACCATCATCATGCCTTCAGTCAAGCCGAAGCTCGCGCAGTTGAAAACGCCGGTCACGGCAACCTTCCCTTCGGAGCTGTCTGCTCTATCGGCCAAGACACCCCTCTCCGCCGTCCCGGACTTTATCAAGGAGGAATTCCCTAACAGCGCAAAGACTCCTATCACCCCACCTACAGCCTATATGGATTTCCTAAAGGCTATGTCGATGCCCTCGCCAGTCATTACAGGGAAGAGATCAGGAACGAGCAGCCCTGAAGATGACTCAACTCAGGATTCGGTCCCATCGACCGCAAGCAGCGAACAGACAGACTGTTCCTGCAAATGCGGTAACCATAAGTCACTAGCCGGTATTCCTTCAAGCCCTCTTCCGGGTCAGCCTATGTCTGCACCACCGGCGGGAGTGACATCATTCCCGAGCCTTCACATGCCCCCATCACCCGCTGTATCAACGATAGATTCGCCACTGAGCTCAACAGCACGATCTCCATTCAGCGCAAGATCAGTACGGTCACCGTTTGACTGGGAAGCGGCATTGAAGTCTAGGTACTCGCAGGGTTGTAGAGCACATAAACCGTCAGCTAAGAGCGTACGTCATATTCGGGAAGTTGTCACGAGGACCGTTACATATACGCCAAAGATGGAGCCGGCACCGAAAGGCAAACGGAGGAAGACAACGCATCTAGACTGTTCTAAAGTCCAAGCAGCGGCCGCGGCGGCAGCAGCAGCCCGAACGAACACAGTCTAGGCACTTGATTAAACCATCTTACCAAATTACTCAACTACGAACGAACTAAAGTCATGGCACCGTCCCCCCCTAATTCTATTTTGGCCTTTACGCCAGGAATTGACATTTATTTTCCATTTGTTCATATCTATCACTCCCTCTCTCACTCACTCACTCACTCGCTCATTCATCCACACGCGCAATTACCGACTTACTCACACACACACTCTCTCTCTATTTCTCTCTCCTTCTCCGATATACTTATCAGTATCAAATTAACAACAACAACGAAGCCACTGTTGGGATCGATGGACCATTATTAATCTCCATCCAACATCCCTTAAAAAAACGGTGGAAATGACTTTATGGCTTCTTACGATCTAGATCCATGGCGTATCTGGCATTACAAAGAGGGGGGGGGGGAATTTTGGGTGGATTTCTGTTAGGAAACTATGATGGAGTTTATTGGCGTTTTGCTGGTGGGCATCAGCAATCCTGGGAATCGGAGGCTTGCGCAGCGATACCACGGAATTTTGGATTTTTTTTTTCTTCTCTTCTCTATAGGCTCAGGTGTGGTGGTGCCCCCTTTGTGGAAAGGGGACCAAGAGGAACGTGGAGAGGGAGAGGGAGAGGGAGAGGGAGCAAGTACCGATAGGTTACTGTGTGATAGGATAGGACCGGGTCGAAACTTGGTGTAGCCAACATTCACGCAATTACATGGCATCCCTTTTAGCTTAGTAGAGCTTAGTGCCCAAACAATATCAATACGTGTTTGACGAGGAATTGGCTCTATAGGCGGGCCCCGACGTGAAGAGATTCCCTTTTCTGTGAGCATTTTGTTTATTTATCTGTATGTATGTATGTATGTATGTATTCGTATGGGTTTTTTGGGGGGGTTTTTTTTGTTGGTTTTTGGTTTTTGTATGGAGTTGGTATGGAGTCTCAGACGGGAAACGGACGGTGGACGTTGTTTTCCTGTCTGCCCGCTAAGGCGACCTAGAATGCGGCCGGGAGGTTGGGCTCGTAAGCGTTGACGATTCGTCGCTTGGCTCTGGCCAAGTTTCGGTCAAGAGCGCGGTCGTCGTTGGTGGCCCTCCTTCCGCCGCCTCCGCTTCGCTAGGTAGGTAGAGGTAGGTAGGTAGGTATTCTAGATTTCTAGCTCACACGCTCACACGCTCGCGCACACACTCGCACAGTACACGGACTTTTATTATTATTATTATTTATTTTTATGGTTTTTTTTTTATTCTTGTGACCACGCGAACTGCCCGCGGTAGGTAGGTAGGGAGCCAACCGAGATTGAAAAGGTGGTTGACCAAGATCGCCCACACGCACGCACACACACACTTTGTTTTTTTTGTATTGTTCTTTTTTTGTATGTGTGTCTGTGTGTCTGTGTGTAAGTGTGTGTATGTTTCTTATGATATTACGTATTGTGCTAATCACGAGGTGGCTGTTTCAATGGAGGGGACTTACGAGGCCTCGTGGACACGACATATTACTTAGATGCTAGGGCAGCTTCGTTCGAGAGTCCGGCTGATTCTACCCGTGTTTACGTATAGCTGTGCTACTCTTGCTACTCTTGCTACTCTTACTACTACAGATATCTAGGACGTGTCGTCTCGTCTCGTCTCGTCTTGTCTTGTCTTGGCTATCATCATCATCATCATCGTCGTCATCGTCGTCATCATTATTACTCGTTCTCTTACCCGGAGTCTAGAAATATTCCCACGGTGCTATGTTAGAGGCAGGCTACTCGTTACTCACTACTCACTTACACTACTTGGACTTTACAGACTTGCCTATTACAATGTGTGTAGGTAGGTAGGTAGTATACCTACATGTATGTTGGTCTTATATGTACCTTGGTAAACTCGCGACGCCCGACTGCGGTGGTCTTTTACACACGATTGGTCGGTTTGTGCGTCCCGACATCCTGGGACTTGCATGGCGGGGCTCGACGAGGGGTGACAGAGGGGCAAGGGGGGAAGGGGGGGTACATAAGAGTAGAAAGTGGACTAGTTCGCTTTTGTGTTAGCGTTCGCCCTTTCGAAACTGGGACAGAAACTTTCAACTGCCACAGCCGGCGCGCAATCTTCTTTAAGCGCTGGATCCATCGCCCGAGGTCGCGACCCCATTGGCTCGACCTTAGCCTTAGCTTTTAAGGGGGGCCATGGGGTGTGTCATGCAGCGGTTCGAACTCGGCTCTCGGCTCGCTATTGGCTGTTTGCGGGTCCAGTTAAGCGCCCGCGACCTTTTGCTATTAAATTGCACCTTTCCTTTCTTTCATACATACATACATACAGTAATGCTCTACATACTACCTCCTACTTTTCGAGTCTCGTCCCCAGATCTTCTTCCGTCGCCCCCCTCTCTCTCAACGGGGGTTTCGATCCCGCTAGAGGCAGACGGATGGAGATATATATATATATATATATACATATATGAGTTGCACACTGACTGACTGCAGGGTAAATACCTACATAACATAGCATACGGGAAAAGGGGGGCCTTTTCTTCTTTACTACCTACGTTAGGAATATGAAGAACAAACCAAAACCAAACCCAATCCCTTTCCCTCGACCGGCGGTGAGGATGTAGATGGGAAAAGCCTTTGTTTTTTGTTTTGTTTTTGCCTACCGCGACGCGGACGGCCGCTGCCGAAGTGGCCATCCATCGGGGCAAATGTTTAAGATGTGCTTCTCTGCAAACGGCAGCCGGGCAAAAACATACATACATACATACACGCACACCCGTGGAAGTGGATGACGATCGCGCCTGGCCTCGCCAACGGGTAAGTAGATTGGGATCTTGCTTGCCAAGACCTGGGACCCCAAATGTGACGATGCCGGCTGCTTTCTTGATCACGAAGGCGGGTTCGAGCACCGCGACTATACATACATACCTAACATACCTTAGGTAGGGAGGTAGGTAGGTATATACCAATGGGAGAAAAGAAGCAAGCAAGCAAGCAAGCAAGCAAGCACAGACTCGACAGAAAATTTGTGCCGCTTCGGTCTACAACTCTCGGACGGCAACACCAGGCGCAAAAACGCAGTTGGCTGGAGGATTTCCGTGGAAACGGTAGCAGTGCGCCGTTTGTCGCGCATCGCATCGGGGCAGGCGGAAAAAAAAAAATGTGACGAGGGCCGCAGTAGTCTGTCTGCCTGTGCCTTACCTCCTCCTCCTCCTCCTCCTCCTGAATATCCCGTGCCGTAACTCTTGATTTTGTCCATACTGAGCGGTCGGGCTTATCCTTCTTGCGTGTGTTTGTCTATCAGAAGCCCGTTGCCTTTCGATATATTATATTAATACTGGATATATGTACGCATGTATGTATATGCGTGTGCGCTTACGTGCGTGCGTTGTGCGTGATATATTATATCCGACTGCCATCACATAACCTATTAAACTAGCCATGTATCCGCAACTTGGGAACATACCTGTGAACTCGGATACCTATCACAATCCCAATCGCGAGATCCCTAACCCTGGTAGCTAGTCCCAATCGACACGTTGTTCTGGAAGAGAGGAGCAAAGAAGATGGTTATTCTCCGACACGACCAACCTCGTCCCGATCGTCGCTCTGTGCCCCAACCGTGGGACCGTGGGACCTATAAGTCCCGTTATTATGATTATCCGCTGCACCTCGAAAGACACCGCTTAATAAAAGCCTCAAAGGATCCACGTCAAGATACTGACGTTTATTAATTACCTCCTATTTTTCAAGGCGCGCAGAACAGAATGCAGAGTAATTTCTAGGATTAGCAGGTAACTATACTATACTATATTGTATAGTATAGTATAGTATATATAAGCGACCGCTTTATATTCATAACACTTTAGACGAGAGGATTCTTCTTCATCGGAAGCTACTATTGCGTTCTTGTCTATCTCCCTTATATATATATACCTAGTTATGTACGTCTGCGGCAAAGTCACATGCATGTAAGATGAGGATTTTTGAGATACCATCTCTTTCTCCCCAAAGCAAACAGACAAACCCTTTCCGGCGCTCTTCTCGCACGTGGGAGAAAACACACTATCCTGGTTCCGACGGGACCGTCCCCCCACGCGGATGTGAAACGACGCGTTGTGGATTCGTGATGGGATGGGATGGATGTAGATATATATGGCTGGGGTTTTTTTTTTTCTGACATACATTACCTAGGTACATACGTAGTTATAAGATAGGGTAGGTTAGGTTAGGTGCTTACTTGCGTGCTTACGCCACTCGTCTCGCCGCAGCCTCGCATGTCCCAGGTGTCTCGTGCCTGCGGGCTCGCTCGGACCTCTTTTTGACTTGGGGTTTTTGCTCGCGGTTGGGAAGACGGGGGGTTTGGTGAGTAGAGAGTGGTGCTGTTAACTCCATAGTGGCTCTTTGTATATTAGATATCTGCCTTGCATCGTCTTCTTAGAAACATGTTTAGGCTTGTCTGACTCATGTATCCCTGTGAGCTGAAGAGCTGAAGAGCTGAAGAGCTGAAGAGCTGCCTGTTTATTGACTCCACTTGTACCATTATATCGTGGTGATGAGTCCTATCGCCGTCGACTGTTGTTGAGAATGATACTAGAACCGGTAGGTGGTGTAGTCAACCTAGGAAAGTGCATTAGAACGAATACCGCTGCTTACCGATAAATAGGCCATGGGTAGCGCTGGACTTGTTTGGAGTCGATCAAGAGTCTAAACGTAAGTTGCTACCTAGCCGTCGGAGACCATGGCGCTGCTGGTCTGACTCGCTGTAAGGCTGGCTAAAGACTAGGCAGCCGTGCTTCGGCACCGGTTCGATTGTGTAAATATCCGCGAGGTTCTAAAGTACACGCTTATAGACCATCTACCACATATATGGCCCCCAACTTTTCTCCTGCCATGTCGGGCTATCAGATGGCGGTTTAGGAGAGTCATAGTGCCTAGGACTCCTAGGGGTACGGGAGGTTCCTTGCGGAAGTAGGTCTTCTACTCCCCTCCGGCTAGTTCATCTTCGATGGGTAGAGGTGTACTTACGGGTTTTAAGGTCGGCGGCTATGGATGGGATGGGAACTATCTACTTAGACGATAGACATACTAGGGGGTCTAAGTAAACCCCTTTTCTGGTAGTTTTCTCGCTAGACTAGCGGAGTAGTGTATACCACCCAACTCTAGTTATGACATGTGCTCTATGCGGTTAATAGGATGTTCTTTTTGCGTCGTAGTATCACGGGGTGGAAACGACGACGTTGTTCCGTGAGAAACTCTGAGCTTAAGCTCTGGAGGCCAGTGACTGTACACACTGAGACCACCCCCTTTTCAGTTATCTCATCCAGAATCCTAACACGTAGTCTATGCTCTCTGGACATCGTCATATTGTAATTACAGGCGTTACTGACTTAGTTAGCCCCGTGAGGATGCGAGCAAAGAGTGAGAACATAGTTATGTTATATTGAGACACGAAGAACTATAAACTTAAGATAGCTAAGATCATGCCACCTGTATAACTAGGAACTCTTCGTCTTAGATGTCTTAGTAGCCCGGGGATCTAACAAGCCCCTTTCATCGGAGCGTTAGCGTCAACTCAACCCATCCCCTATCTTTATCGGAAATATCGTTGAATGTATAGTCATAGCTCCAGAAGAGAACTCAATAGGGGCCCGCCCATCTCTTGAAATGCCAACTAGCTGTAGGCTCATTCTGGCCAATGAGCACTTAACTGATATTGGCATATACATTGCGAGGAAAGCCTCTTTATGATTAAACCAGGCGAGTTTATAATATGAAACAGACTGCTCTATGATTAATTAATACTTCAGGAGACAAGATAGGTAGAATATATTGAATCAGAAGATGAGAAAGTAAAGCGGTAGTCCCTTATTCCTTGTGTGATAAATGATAATTTTGGATCACCAAATCGTAAATCGGGTATTTGGAATTTCTATAGGATACTAAAGGCTCTCCTAGGATGGGTGCTGTAAAGCACGTCCACCAAAGCCATAAATACCCCATCAAGACATCATAATGGGCTAGATCATATACGTAGGCCCCGTGGAGGGACCGTATCGTTCACGAATAGGCACGAATTCATTATTTCTGAGGGTAAGAGAGTGACGAAGGTAATAATCCTGCTTCTCTCGTATCTCTAACCCAAAGTAGGTTGCCGGTTGCCGTATACTTTAAATAAATTAAAAAACTGCTACTTAACAATAGTTGCGCTATCTGTTGGATGCTTTCTAGCATGAGTCTATTCGGTCGGGGAAATTAAAAGGGGTAAGGGATGGATTGTTTGAATTTTGGATGATAAGGGGATTTTTCATAGATATACTGGTGAGAGTTAGATAAGGAGATCGTATGGTTTGGAATAGCATACTACCACATCCATCAGTGGGCGCGTAGTGTGTTAAAAGTCATTTATTCTACCTATCGGGCTGAATAGATAATATCGTCGCGAAGATTATTTAGTGAGAATAGGACAGGTAGTAGAGCTACCAGATGGTAGATTGACCTACTAGATCTACCTTAAAACAGACTTCTAACACTACCCTCACGTTCTTTAGAGGAACAGGATGACATACCAGAACTCCATCACGGCTAGGTAAGAGCGCCGATAAAGGTAAACACACCGACAAAGGTAGAGAAAAGAGACACCTTAGACGGGAACATTGAGCGCATCATCTCCGATCAACCTAATATCTATGGATCAATCTGGAAGACACCAGCAGCCCAAGACTACGGGGTCTTCACGATCAGGCCCTAAGCAACCTCCACGACGAAGTTCAAAGGCGATCCTGCGAATGCTCAAATAGCCATGCAAACCACCATCTATAATCGAACTCGTCTTATAAAAAAATACCCCATTCGTCACCTCGGCGATGGGAATTTTTCAGATGTTGAATTTGAGCCTATCACCCACTCTCTTCACGATCTCTAAGAGAGATTATGCCCCAAAGTGCCAACCAGCTATAAGCCAGGTCGATTCCAGGGTATATCCAATCTAAAGGGGTTATGAAATTGGTGAATGTCTTCAAAGAAAGGTCCCTATTAACAAAACCAATTATATATATCTTGTATTTTTACTTGATTCAACTTGTAGTCATCTAGTACTTTGGAACATAGTCGCTACAGTTATATCTATGAGGCTATGGAACTATGTAGTCTAAAATAGTAACCCCCTGAGACCCCATGTATAAGGTACCTATGCTTGAGTGAGTAGTGGAGGGTATATTTCTATTCTCAATACTGTCCTTAAAGTATTAATTGCTGTTAGTGATAGTTGCGACCTTATAGGTGTTTTAGCAAAGCAGATGCGCAACCCCTATCCGCGACATGGGTGGGCAATGATCCGGTAGCTCTACATGCATCGCTATTGCTAGATTAATATAATATATAGTACCTTTCATCATTCTTATATGAGTAGAATAAAGACCCTAGATATTAGTAGATAGGAATTAACAGCTTGCTATTTAATATAACTCCTAACGAGTCTCTTATGAACAACCGTCCACTTTTTCGACCCTATATACTATTTTGAACTCGAAAGACATTTGATAGTTTTTTACTCCCCAGCAGATATAGCTTCGGTCACACTAGGAATAATCACCGCGTCGACCCGTTCATCCTTGCGTAGAAGGTGTGATTAATATAAATACGGTTAGCTTGACCTTATGTCTCACGGGTTCAAAGGGGGTTATTGACAGCATGATACAAATGCCAACGTTGCCAACGTGCAGACCCACTAACCTTGAGAAACATCATAGAGCCCCAGATTGAGGGTTAGGTATATTTTTTGCGCACAATAAATAATGTATCATTTGGCTCTAAATAGAGGACGTCCCGGTAGTGGCCATGTAGCCAATCACGGCCCGGCAGGATAGCCTCATGAGTAGACTGCACTCTAGGTGGGGAGAAGGTAATAAATTGGGAACTAAAGAACTGGGTGCTAACGGAGAATGTCTTGATGATTCCTCGTTATGCATGTGCTGCTATAATTCCCTGAATGTCATGCCTGCTATCCAAGGGGCCACGCTATCCCGAGTAAATAGGCGAGTAGAAGATATTCACGGTAGAGATGCGGGTGTACTTCCCTCTCATGCAGAAGCCGCAAGGCATTATAATAAAACGAATGAAAAGGTCAAGGTGTGAACTATTCGGTTAACTATCTGTAGCAGATTTATGAGTGATAATGTCTCTAGTTCAGGGGTATTTGAAAACATCACGCTGGGAGGAATTTGCCTAACATACGAGTTTCAAATGTAGTCATAGTCTTATAGTGTCGGAAGTCTAGAAGGCTAC